TAATGTCCACATACAGTAAATATAGTGAAACCACGTATTTCTAAAATAAAGGTTTTTTTTTAACTGTTATAGCAATCTTTACCAAAATTTGGAATGCTAATATGCTGACAGTAAAATGTCAGAGTCCATTCATTCCTCCCACACCCTGACTGTAAGAATGCAATCACCCATTGAAACTTCCTGTACTGTTTGAAAGCTGGGGGTGAGTTGATATTTTCTGAAAATTTGGAGACAATATAATAGGGACCAGTGGCTACTGGCTAATAAATCTGTTCCTCTACAGGCTGGTTATCTTCATTAGAGTATACCATGAGGGTGAGTGAGGCTTTATTGATTAAATTCAATATGGCAAAATACATGAAAATAAAAATGGATATACTCTATTTTGGTATTATGTGGGTTACGGATGACTTGGACCCATTGTCCCAGAGGCATCGGACAGTACCTAGGATGTCATGGATGTTAAATCGCATAAATTTCGTTGCACCTGGCAGTTTCCAGATGAATGAAGGTGTTGTTAGTAGAATATCTCAGTCCACCTTCTCCCGGGTGCTGGGGGATTTCCTCACTGCCCTTAGGACTTGCTGTCATATATTTATTCCCTTTCCCCCAACAAATGAAAGGGAAGAGGGTTGCCAAATCTTCCTGTGAGCCATGGATTGCACACCAGTGCAACTGACATAAATGACTTAATAAAGGTGCTATATAGGACTTAATTTGACATTATTTGCATGATGATGTTGGTGTGCCCGCATCATAAAAAGGGGAAAAGCCAAAGTGCATGGTTTCCACAATGCTAGAGGAATGGGGAGAGGCCCAAGGGAGGAGAGAGGCTGCTTGGCAATTGAAATATGGGCATCCCTGAGTAACTAGCGCCAAGGTATCCTAACAATCCTGCTCTTTTAATAGAACGTTAATCATACACATGAGGTAATTGGGGCTTTAGCAGGTTATTAACAGAGTGGATTAGAAATTAAAAGAAATTCAGATAAGAAATGCTATGAAACACTATGTGCTATAAGGGAAACTACAAAAATTATTTTTCAGGAAGTGTGTGCGGAGGCTGCATGATTTAACTACTGAATGCCAGAGAATTGTGGAGTGAGACTGCAGGGGCATGATCTATACAAGAAAATCATTTAATTAAGGTAAAATAATGTTGGTGCTTAGAGTGTCCCTTTAATAGAACAGGAGATAAGAAGAACACAATTAAACATACTGTAAGTTCAGTTTGAAAATTAAACCTTTTTTCACTGAGGTTGTGTGAATCACAGTCATGGGAGGTGTGGCTAAGGCTACATAAATACAGTGTTAGCGTTTCTCCTACTTGGAGACTTTCTCAAGACATCGTCTCACACTATATGTACCCCCATCTAATTGATGGACATTACCAATCTTTTCCTCCTCCTAATATGAGGGTTTTATGTAGAGTGTGGCATAAACAATGTGAGATCACGTCTTGAGAAAGTCTAACAGGAGACGAAAAGTGCGGACACTTATGCTGATTACGTGAATATGTCATTACACCTGGGTGTATAAACAGCACTACAGTGTGGTTCTTTACCATGCATCAGCATGACATGCTCACGTAAAATTGCACTTTGGACATGGACCTTTCACTCAAGATTCTTTGTGCTCATATGCTTTTATTTTATGCTTAGTGGCTGTGTTATGCATTGTTCTACAGTGGATTTATTGCTTATTATGGCTTATTACTATTCTCTTATCTTATATTTTAAAAAAAGGTGTTTTTAGCACCTCCGATACTGTGAATGAAAATTGCCTTTTTAGTTCCATGCTTTTATTGTCTTTTAAAAAATATATATATATATTATAATTGTTGATTTTTAATATGTGGTGCCCCCTATATATATTTTTATATTTACAGCACAAGCAAAATATTAAAAGCAATAAATATGGATTTTACAAGTAATGCTTTTATTGAATACACTTTCTGTTGTGTTAAAAGGCTTGTAAAGTAGCAGATTTCCAAAAGTAGTAAATTATTTATTTCATAGACTTGTAAAATATATTTGCTTTCTGTTAAAAAAAAATAAAAATAATTAATCAATGGGGAACGTTAGGAGAATGTTGAGCAAGCCGAAACAAATAAAAAAAGATTTTTTTATTTTTTTTTATTTTACATGTTTTGAATTACAATTTTTATTTCTTTGATTATAGGTCTGGTGTTTGGTTTTGCACTGACCATACTGATTTTTCCTTGATGTTTCCACATAGCTATGCCAGCACTTATAATTCACAGAGGAAGGGAAGAAATTAAACAAACTCTACTTGAAAGTTGGCATCTTATGTCGATACCGTGCTGCTCATCACCGAGTCCTGCCGCAAAGGTCATCTACCTGCCAATATTTGCCTGTAGAGAATACATCGCTGATTTTTAATAACAGAGAACATTTTAAATATTTTAAATACTTTTAAATAACAGACAGAAATACAGAATATGTTCCTTATCAAATGTTATATAGGCAATAAAATTAAAGAACATACTATGAAAAAAAATAAAAACAGGAACAGATGTGTAAAATATGTCACATGTTGATGGTATCAGGTCTCCCAACCATTCTGATGTCGACAGGACAGTCCTGATTTAGACGCGCTGGTGTTATGCTCAGATCGTAAGGCCTCTGTAGAGAGCACTGAAACACAGTCTGCATACAATATATCCTTTAGTCAAAAGCAAAATTATATTTGGAGATAATGTGCAGGGGGAACTAAGGGAGACACTAGCATCAGTTGACCACTCTCAGACAATGAATGGTTCACTGCCCAAGTAAATTTACACAAAACTGGCATTAGCCAGCCTAAAACTATTGTTCCAGGCTACCTAATGCCACCCCAATTATTCTGCTGTGTATGATTTTCCTAGCCCTTTTGGTGTCTAAAATATATATATTTTATTGAAGATAAGGGGTGGACATTATGCAATGTCTTTCTTTACTACTCACATAGGGTTAGCAATATAGTTTGGGAGAAAAAGCTTGATGCAACCAATCATGCTAATATAGAACACACAACCATTTAGCACAAACCATGCAGTATAAAGAGCATGACCCATACTGAAAATGGTTCTCAGTAGGCAACATGTCTATGGTTATAAAGCTAGCAGAAAAGTGGATATACATTTATTGTTTAATAGGCTTTCCCAGAATTAAAATTAGAGGGAAAAAAAGTAAGATTTTAGTTAAAGAGTGCAGCCCACACTGTGACACCTGGCTGGTTCAGTTGAGATGTGATAGTCAAATGAGGATTTTTATCTAACCAAAACACACAGTTACGCCTGTTGACATTGTCTGACAATTTGAAAGAAGCCTCTACTGACAAGATGATATTATCAAGATGGTTTGAGTCGTTAGAGTGTTGGTTACGCATCATCTCACAGAATTCCAACCAACAGTCTTGGTCGTTCTCCAGAAGACCATGTAACAGTCTTGGATGGTACAGCTTCAATTTCAATTTACACATTAAGCGTTGCAAGGACATTCTCGATATGGATAGCTGCTGAGATGCATATCATGTGGACTTTTTCAGACTGTTCACAAATGTCAAAGTGACTCTTAGCTCATTTTCATTGTCATAGACATCCTATAATTTCCAGATTTTGGTGCATTAACCACCCTACCCGTTGCTTCAAGTATTTCTCTCATATAATAAATTGTCAGACGTGTTGGTGGAGGAATGTCAAATGCTTCTTGTCACTCTTTGTGCACCCGCTCTACATTTTCAGTTTTCCAGTACTGCATTGGAATCCACTTTATTTTTCTTGAATAATGTTCCCTGTCATCATTCACAATAACAGTAAAGAAAAATAATTATTTTATCTGCCCTCTACTATTCTCTCCAACTGTCACACTGATATTTACATGCCTGAAATGTAATTGTTACATTGTTGTTTGTCAGTGTATATGTGCACCCATATAATGTGTTGTCATGCATTTCATTGATTCAACTGTATACTTACTTTTGGTCCACCCTGTAAAATATATAAATGACAATTGCCTTTTTTCGTTGCCTTTTTTCACACAACCCTTTATTCAAACACCAATACTGCACACCATATGTAACCACATATAAAAGCCAACCCTGCATACCCCTGCAATCAAATGCATAGCCTTACATCAAAGAAAACATTACATACAAACACATCCCTGTATTAAAATGCTAAATTATATACAAACACCCTTCATTCAAACACTACACACAAAAGTACACCAGTATTTAAAAGCCAACACTACACACAAACACACCCCTGCATTCAAACACAAACATTACAAGTACACCGTACACACATACATACAAAAACATGCTTACATTCAAACGCACATACACTGCTCTCAAATACAACCTTGCAAGGATGGGCAAATGGTAGATCCCCAGCTGGCATAGCATCATGAGAGTTTACCTTTTGGCCACCATTGCGCTAGAGGGGGTCCCACATATTTTTTTTTTGTACCAGGACCCTTTTGTAATAAACCTATTTTTTGAGAGAAACAAGCAGTCCGGTCACCCCATTTATTTGATGTGCCGGAGAGGTGGTCTAGACCATATCTACACAATACTTACATATTTTGGCCATTTTAAGTAACTCTAACCTCTGCGAGTCGATTTTTACATTTCATTATTATCCTCTTGAATAATGGTATTATGCTATGTTTATTTCTCTTTTGAGATACATTGTGATCAAGATTTGAAAGTCATTGTGAAACATCTTTTCATTGAAGGCAGTGGTGGCCACAGAAGACCCAGAAATGTGTCTAGCTAGAGCTAATTTATGAGCTCTGTAATGTGAGTGTTCCATTTAGCATTCATAGGTATTTAAAGGATATTACGCTAACATGTACTGAATTTTGAAGATTGAAATATTCAGATAAGTCCCGTTGTATACATTTAACCCCTTAAGGACACATGACATGTGTGACATGTCATGATTCCCTTTTATTCCAGAAGTTTGGTCCTTAAGGGGTTAAATCACATGTTGCGGTGATTAATATATATTACACTCTACTGTATTGTATTGCTTTGGGTTTTTTTTGGGGGGGGGGGTTTCAAATTACACATAAAGTTTGGTAGCAAACTTGCTATGAGAAACTGCTATGTTTACATTGCAGGGTTAATCCAACCTCTAGTGGCTGTCTTCCTGACAGCCGCTAGAGGTGCTTCTGCGACGCTGGATGCTTTGCTATGGACTGTTTGGATGCGTGCTCGGCTCTTGTATTTCGCTCCACTCGGAAGTTGACGTCGGCAGGGGAGGAGAGGTCACCAGCGCCGAAGGACCCCGGTGCTGGATAAAGGTAAGTGGCTGAAGGGGTTTTTACTTCTTCAGTGCCAAGGGAGGGGTACCCTGAGGATGCGGGGGTCCTAAGGATGCTGTAGTGTCAGGAAAACAAGTGTTATTCATTTTAATATTGCTAGTGGGATGAATGTATTTTTTAAAATCATGAACACACATTGTGTGCTTGTATAGTTAGTACCTGAATGAGTTAATCTGACTGTAACAATTGCCTATTCATGTTCGTGTGCAACATGTCTACCAGTCAGGGATTTGAAAATTCCAAAGATTGAACCTTCAAAATTCATACAATGCAAATTATCTGCATCCCACTGCAAGCAGCATCAAGCATTAGCATTTTTCTTCTGTCATCACAGCTCACATCTTTCACAAGAGGTAACTGGAGCCACGGGGTTTCAAAGACTTTACCTTGCTTTATTTGTGAGTTTTCACAGAGACAATCAAATAATGAGCATGTCTCAAGCTGTTTCTTTACAAAAGCTCTCTGAAGAATATTATAACTGGAATATTATTTCATACAACAGGGAGACAAGGACGTACACAATTTCAAAATGCTCTTTAATTTATCAGCTCAACAAAGTTTAATAGTTCAACCAAGGACACGGGAGGTGCTAGAAAACCATTTACATAGCACATACCGCTGTTTTATTTCAGGAGACAAATGATTTTTTATTCACTCACGCAATGTACATCTATACTTATTAGTCTTTACAACGCTGGAGGAAAAGGAAAGTGTTGCATCATTGTAATGTATTGATCTCTTCACCAACACTCAAAGGGACAGATAATAATATTCAATTATTTAAAAGGACACTCTATGAATTAAAACAACTTTAGCTTAATGAAGCATTTTTCGTGCATTGATCATGCCACTGTAGTCTAACTGCTCAATTCTCTGCCATTTACAAGTTGTTTTGGTTCTTACAGTATCCCTTTAACCAGGAAGGGTACATTTAGGTGTCACGTGTATGCTTATTAAAAAAAAAAAAAAAAAGGATTATTTAACTTTTTTACAATTTGAAGTTTAAAGTAAGCAGATGTGACTTTTAAGGATAGTCTTTGAAGTGCAGTATGTGTTTTGCCAAAGAAATACAATAGACATATTCTTGAAAAATGTCTGCACTGGGCTGTTTTGTTAGTTCTTAAATGAAAGTGCATTTGTTTATTAGATTTTTGGTGTATATAAAACAGAATCCAATAATTTAATGTTTTTTGCTTCTACTTTTATTATTTAGACTATCCAAAAATAAACTGGAAGAATAGAAAGCTACAAATTGAATGGAATTCACATAACTTTCTATCATCCTAAAACAGCAAACCAAAGTCTAAAAGGATCGGAATAAGTCAAAATTGGAGGTGAAAAACCAAACTCTCAGGAGCGTTAATACAATTAAACAAATAATAAATTAATAGCTATACAGGCCCACTAAAACGATATAATGCCATCATCCCTGCGAAAAGCCCCCAGTTGCCAAACCCGATGTGGAGCAGTGCTATAGCATGTCTTAAGAAGTCAGATGTAGGTCACTATCTCTAAGGGTCTGTTTGTAGGATTGCTAGACTGTCTAACTCAGGGGTCCTCAAACTCCGGCCCCCCAGATGTTTCTGAACTACAACTCCCATGATTATTTGAATTACATAGATAGCCAGAGAATCATGGGAGTTGTAGTTCAGCAACATCTGGGGGGCCGGAGTTTGAGGATCCCTGGTCTAACTTATACAGTTAGGACTTATCCATTCTGTATTCTGTGAAGAATGTGTTGCTCTGAGTTGCATGGGATTGCTCTACTTCTGGTGTGAAAGCAATTTGGGATCCCAACTGTGACTTATGAAATCATTTCACACAGAACACATCAATTCTACATATTCTGGACTGTTCCTCTAAGCCCTAAATTGGGGCACACGCACTGAAAACCACTGTTTTAGTCCAAATCTAGTTGCTTTAAGTTTGCAGGTGTTACTCGTGTGGACTTAACACGTTGCATTAATTAGATTATAGTTTGACTTGAGCTTAAAGGAACACTATAGTCACCTAAATTACTTTAGCTAAATAAAGCAGTTTTAGTGGATAGATCATTCCCCTGCAATTTCACTGCTCAATTCACTTTCATTTAGGAGTTAAATCACTTTGTTTCTGTTTATGTAGCCCTAGCCACACCTCCCCTGGCTATGACTGACAGAGCCTGCATGAAAAAAAAACTGGTTTCACTTTCAAACAAATGTAATTTACCTTAAATAATTGTATCTCAATCTCTAAATTGAACTTTAATAACATACAGGAGGCTCTTGCAGGGTCTAGCAAGCTATTAACATAGCAGGGGATAAGAAAATCTTAATTAAACAGAACTTGCAATAAAGAAAGCCTAAATAGGGCTCTTTTTACAGGAAGTGTTTATGGAAGGCTGTGCAAGTCACATGCAGGGAGGTGTGACTATGGTTCATAAACAAAGGGATTTAACTCCTAAATGGCAGAGGATTGAGCAGTGAGGCTGCAGGGGCATGTTCTATACACCAAAACTGCTTCATTAAGCTAAAGTTGTTCAGGTGACTATAGTATCCCTTTAAGTAAATAAATCCCTAAAAAAACAAATTATTTTGCTAATGTAAAAGGTATCCAGTATCAGATGGTACATTTAACCAGATTTGCCGCATTACTCCACTTTATTACATGTGTATCCTCTCAGTTAATTTTCCAATGCCTACGCCAGTTTAATTTTATTTCATCCTGCTGAATGAAGCTTCGGGAGTTGACTCTATGTGAAGACATCATTTCAGTCATTTTACTTGTTCAATTGTCTTTAAAAGCCGGTACTAAGCCAAACGTGGATAAACTGTGATAGATATCGTCGATTCATCTAGCTATGAGCAACTTTGCTTTTCCTACTGTTTTCAACTGCTATCACCAAGGCACTATCCAAGCCCATTATTCCTTTATAAGAAATGTACTTTATTTTAATGGCATCTGCATTTGTTACAAACAAATAGAGAAACATTACAAGAAATGTTTAACGGAGCATCTAGAACATTGTGTTCTGCTTACTTTCTCTCGCTTTCAGCTTTTGCTAAAGTATTTCCGTTGAACTAATATTCAGAGTTTCTAAAATTATAATATAACCAATGAGGTGTTCATTTCAAGACTGATTTATAGTATTTACAACAGGTAAAAATGTCCTAAAGCAAGCAGTACATTAGATGATGCGGTTATTTTGCTTTGTTTTTTTTACTACTTTTTTTTTTTTTTTTTACTCTTTCTTTACCTACAATAGAGATTGTAGGAATTATCATTCAGTGTTAATGCGGCTCATCCTCATCCACACACACTTGTATTGACATACACAATGTTTCCATAACAAATTTAGGATTATAACTCTGCAATTACTCTTGCTGATAAGACTTCGCCAATTACATTTAGGATCTTACCATACATCAAAGTTTGGGTTCTGTTACTAAGTCATCTACGATTTACCATCCACATTGAAAATGTAAAGCACACCACTTCATCATACTGATTTCTATATCATGATCACATCAAACAATATGTATAACCTATAACACTTACCTTTAATCTATATTATATTGTACACCTACCTTTAATCAGAAATTGGTGTAAAAAATTATGGGGCAGTGCTTTTTTTCTACTGACTTTCAGGAAGTCACATACTTTTCGTTGCTGCTTTGTGTTATTTTTGAATTAGAAGAGGTAGTTTAATGCACTTCATCATTACAATCTCTTCTTAGTGAAGTGTAAAATTTGGTCCTTAAAGGGTGAAATACACACAATTAGCACTCCTCTTTTGCCTGTTCAGCCATGTGCTTGACACTTCTTGTTGGGGATCCTGATTTGATCTGAAATACCAAATGAATCGTTTCTTGCTGTTGATAACTGTGCTACCTTTTCTGACCCAACTTTTCCTTGATTTGGTTTATCTCCTCCTAAGAAATCAGGATAACAGTAGCAATTAACTCTCATGTGGAGTTATAACAAATGTCACCTCATACGTCATGGTAGATAGCTTTAATTACCTTAGCATTGGTCCATGTCGTGTTGTCATCATCAAATGGATGTTCTGCCTCATGGGGACTGCTGCTTTTTGCCACTTTCCTAAAAACACTTCTCTAAGATTGCATATATCACTTTAACAAACTCATAGGCAAGTAATCATTCCATCATCCCATGTTTTTGTTTTTTTTAAACTGTACAACCTGGTATATTTTCAATAATTGTTCCTGTGTCCTACAGCTCTGCAAATAGTACATATGATATATTTGTACAAAGGAAAATCTAGGATTGTAGCAAGTCTGCCACAACACTTTCCTCCTTTTATGTGAAAACCTGACGGCTTACATTATTTAATCTGCTTCTACTATTCAATCGAGAGAATATTTAAATAAATCAAACAAAGACCCTTACTGAAGACTGCAGGCAATAGAACCTTGCCCATACTTGCTTTACGGAGACAAACACTTATAATAAAGCCGGCTCAAAAACAGGATTGATTTTTTTTATACTTACTCTTTATTTATGTTCCTTTTTAACTGGGGACACTATTAAATGTGAATATGACTGCATTCCTCAACAAAGCATTTAATATATTAGATAAGATAACGTGAGTAGTATACAAAGCAGGGAGATATTTGCACTACTACTTAAGAAGCAAAATACTTTAATTGAACTTAGTAAAAAACTCAAGAGTACAACGAGAGCAGCTGCCCTACGTGATGTATAGTAGGTAAGTTATAAATGATTCATTCAGGAAGTTAAAGGACCACTATAGTGCCAGGAAAACCTACTCGTTTTCCTGGCACTATAGTGCCCTGAGAGTGCCCCCACCCTCAGGGTCCCACTCCCGCCGGGCTCTGGAAGGGGGAAAGGGGTAAAAACTTACCTTTTTCCAGCACTGGGCGGAGAGCTCTCCTCCTCCGATCCTCCTCCTCTCCTCCCCGTCGGCTGAATGCGCACGCGCGGCTAGAGCTGCACGCGCATTCAGCCGGTCACATAGGAAAGCATTCATAATGCTTTCCTATGGACGCTGGCGTGCTCTCACTGTGAAAATCACAGTGAGAAGCACGCATAGCGCCTCGAGTAACTGTCAATGAGGACCAGCCACCAGGGGAAGGCTTAACCCATTCATAAACATAGCAGTTTCTCTGAAACTGCTATGTTTAGGAAAAAATGGGTTAACCCTAGCTGGACCTGGCACCCAGACCACTTCATTAAGCTGAAGTGGTCTGGGTGCCTAGAGTGGTCCTTTAAAGCAAGATATATTTCTAGACCAGGATCTAATTTATCTTTGTCTACATATTATCAAAGGTTATATATAATATGTATTTAGTGAAGGGGAACATACCATAACAGCTTAAATACCTATATGCAAAGTGTTATATTCTTTTTTTGAGGTGCCTCTGCTTTAATGATAAAATATAGTCCATCACCGTAGTGTGCTTTAACTAGACATTCCCGTGTACACTTACAAGATACGGATGGTCATTTCTAGACTGTTAATCTGTTACATGTGATATTCTTTTTACAAAAATCAATCATTACTGGATGCTACCAAAGGCTGGGAGTAAGTAAATGTTGGTCTCAGTGCTTTTTGGATAGAATTCTGGAAGGCATCTACCAACAAAGTGCAAAAAATAAAATAAAAAATATATTAACAATGATTAATTATTACAGTTTTAGCATTTAACTTTTCCAGCAGTAATTTAGCAATCAAATAGCAAGTTGTTATTCGGTGTTTAGCGAGCAAAAGTTATTACAAATTGGGAACTATTTATCACAGTCAGAAAAAATAGACTATAATTTACATAGTTGAGGAATAGCAATACCGAGCTGAAAAAAGACTCAAAACAAAGGTAAGTTTAGACTTCCAACATGCTGTTTTGTATTAGAGATATTTACTTTCTTGGTTATATTATATTACTATATACACTATATTTTCTCCTCTGTTTTTGATGGTTTTGGGTGCATGATACTTAACTTTCATTATGGTGTTTTCATTATACCATTTTATATTTAGTTTCTTTTTTTTCCCTATTTTTTAGGCTGCTTAGTACCTTCCCCAATACACCCCTCCCACTATAGAGAAATAATGCAAATATCTGTCATGTTGGAACACAAAATCTGGAACTCATACTGTTAACTGGGTGAGTTAGAGAAATAAGTTATTGCCATGTATAAAATGGCTAATGGCTCATTATGCAAATTATATCTAGTCCCTTAAAAACAAATAGACTGATCTGGATATGTAATATAATTATGGTCCAAATTTTTGAAAATGATGACATTATAGAACTAGAATTATCCTGGTTATGGACAAGTAGGATTTGATGTGGTTAATCCTGTGAGTGCAATCTAAATATACTGTTTTCATTGTTTTAATTGCTACACTATGTGCAAGTCTCTCTATTTCCCTTGCATATATTAACTTGGACAAAAGAAGGTTCTACTTCAAACGCCTTGTGCCATGTGCCTGCTATCAATTTCACTTTTGAGAGTGCATTATACCTGTGGCAAACCTAGCCACTTAAGACTATTCCATTATATATAATGGTTGTCCTGGAAAGACTGTTTAAATCTATGGTATTTTATGTTGTTCGCTTAAAGAGGTGATAGAGGGCATTCGTATGCTAGTGGCACGAAAGCCGCTAGCATTCCTATGGTAGTTTTACAAACAGTGACTTTCAACACTGTTCATGAAACGAACAAAGTACCGAATGGGAGACCACACACAGGAGGTCGTGTGGTTACCATTAACCGACTGCAACAGTTTATCCATCCTCGGTTAATTGATTCACAGGGTGGCCGCCATTCGGATACAGACCACGTGGCGGCGGCCATCTTGGATTCACGTTTAGCCCTGCGGTGTTTGGTCGTCGAGTGCCTGGAACTAAAATCGGCTACTTGACGGTACGAACACCGCTGGACTTCCAGACCGTTCGGGACCACCGGTCTTTCGGTACTTTCCTTCAAACTGTTCATTCGTGTGTTTTCTTAAGAATTCCTAGTAAAGTATGTTTTGTGTGGCATTCGGCTAATTGTGCTGGGATCTGAGCGGTAGATTCATTCGGTTGAATAGCACGAGTAATGTGTAAGTTATGTATTTTTGAGTAAAAAGACCGGTTCTGCTGTACAGAGGGATAATCCACCTAACGGGATATTCGTATGGGAGTATCCCTCTCGTACAGCAGTGCATGGTGGGAAATAGTCTTGTATGTTCAGTTCCTCATGTAGTCCCCACTGTATAACCTCTGTAAAGTCACCCAGGAAACCCCTTGCATGGAGAACCACATAAATACTGTGACCTGTGAATAAAACCTCAGTTGACTCCCAGAACTGTGTTTCGTCCGGTTACTGGGGGATTTGGGATATTACCTTTATTCAGCGCTTTTCTTGGATTACTTTCTTTTACCAGTGGAGAGATTGGAATTTAATATTGCAGCTCCGCTACAATACCCATCAGCTGCAATTTTTGGTAATATACAGTATTGTACTATATGCACTCTTTAGTTTTTTCTGTAGAATAAAATAACAATTGCAAACTCTCAATACATCTAAGGTTATTTGAAAAAGCAAATTCCCAAATTTATGTTAGGTTTTCAATTCATAAACTGTGTCCTTTAGTGAATAAACCATTATGGGCAACTTACACAGATGGTTGTAGGTGAAGGGTGCTTGCACTGGAACTGGAAAAACTGGAAAAATTCATTTTTTTCTAATGCAATTTACAAAATGTAAACTCCAAGTAATATTTGGTATCAATGGAGTCAGGTATGAATAGAGAGCATGTGAGAGCAGGAGAGGAACAAGAAACTTGTTGGTACCTCTACAGGCTGCTGGTATTAACAATGCTTTAAGTGGCTCTGTCATCTCCCCCTCAAAAAATTTATTTCATAAATATAGAGTCTTAATGAAATACTCAGATTGACTGACTAGAACGTCACTGAAATAGGGACTACTGTGTCTCAATTTCCTATGCTTTACAAGCTTGCCAAAACTGCTATGTTTATTAATGGGTTAAGCCTTCCCCCTAATCCTCTAGTGGCTGTCTCATTGACAGCCACTAGAGGCGCTTGCGTGCTTCTCACTGTGATTTTCACAGTGAGAGCATGCCAGCGTCCATAGGAAAGACGGGGCGGAACAGAGGAGGAGAGAAGGAGGAGAGCTCTCCGCCCAGCACTGGAAAAAGGTAAGTTTAAACCCCTTTCCCCTTTCCAGAGCCGAGCGGGAGGGGGTCCCTGAGGGTGGGGGCACCCTCAGGGCACTATAGTGCCAGGAAAACGAGTATGTTTTCCTGGCACTATAGTGGTCCTTTAAGATTAAAAAGATTTAGCTCCAACATTTCCCTACTTGTTAAATACTGCACTGTATAGCCACATATTCAATTTAAAAAGCACCTATTTTTTACTAAAACTTTAGACGATAATAGATGTAAAAAAAACTACAACAAGATACAATAACATTTAAACTTTCCCAACTGAAAATATCCAATTTGCTTGGATAAAAGTCAGTAAAGTGATTTTATCAACACAAAGCTTCTTTAGCTTTAAGCATTTCTCTAAAGTATGATAATCCTATTTAGCGTGCTTTATATTGACGATGCTTTGGATTTAAATGACTACTTTACATTTATTATCTTGTTCTCCATTCTATGGGTCCATTGATATTTTTCGCTCCAAAACACTATTCAATCTCCGTGAAGCTTATCTTTAACTATTGTTCCAAAAAATCGTGTGTGTCAGTCGTGGGATTTTAAAGTGTTTTTTTTTCTTTTTAATGAAATAATAATAAAATAAAGTTAAGCTTATCGAAGTTATGTTCAAAACATGCCACAAAGTAAAGACTACCTTATGCAATATTGACAGAGTATACTGTTGGTGGTGACTAGCTTTAAACCAAGCAGGTGCAATGTACGAAGACAAATCAGCAAGGGGATAGGGAGGAGAGAGAAAAGAGGAGTAGGGACACTATATATTTGATTTCATTTGGAATAATCTGTGAGTAGAATGTGAGACTATTTCCTTACATTAAAGCATCGGGGTCATGGGGAGGGTGTCTATACAAGTCATAATGCACGTATGACTTATACATATTGATGAGTAGCACATAAAAATCTCGCCCTGTGATATGTAGAATTTAGAAGCTGCTATGTGACTTTAATCAATTAGTCAGTGATGATTTCTGCACCATACCCATTATACATCCTGCAGGGTAGTACTTTATGTGTTGCAATTAACATGAAGAAACAATATGTGTTGCAGCATAAACAGAGAATATGAGAACTCTGAGAATGGTCAAAAACTCAGAGACAAATAGCTTGCCCATCGTTTAATCCCTGCTCAGGTCTCAAAAATGGTTTTGCTCACTTGTGCCATTACAGAAAGAACCTATACCATTTGCATATCAAACTGATCCTGCCCATAAATGCAGTCCAGATCCGATATGCTGTCAGAGATACAGAAAATCCAGATGATCGTTTCGGCCTCTTTGGGCCTCGTCAGCTAGATGTAGCTGATAACCCTAAAGGCATGCTGAGCATGCATTCTCAGAGTTGTCATATTCTTTGTTTTTTGTTGCAGTGCATTTACTTAGGCTCTCCCCAAGATAAAAAGTTAATCCAGATGTGGACCCTGTGCTCCCTGTGCCTATAGGGGTATCAGTTGCACCATGCTGATGAGTAGGCCAACGTGATCATCTGGGGTTGCAGTGTCTCTCTTGTTTGGGTAATAATACTGATATTATAGGCATCTACACTCTTTATAATATCTTTAGGACTGCGCTCCATGTAGTTATGCTTATCATTTTCATCTTTTGCAATGTCTTTTTATTATTATTATTATTATTATTTATAAAGCACCAACAAATTCTGCAGTGCCGCACGATGGGTGGACTAACCAAGACGTATTTGTAACCAGACGAGTTGGACACACAGCTTACATGCTAGAGGGAGTGGGGTATAGTGATACAAAAGGTAAGGGTAGGGTGGAAGAGTAGGTTGCCAGGATAGTATTCACTGAGGTTTTGTTTTGATGACAGTTGCAGGAGATTAATCAGGGTGAGAGGAGAGAAAGCTGTTCACAGTTTATTTGATATGCTTTCAGGATTCATGATTTTTTGAAGGAGTGGAGACTGGGTGAAAGTCTTACAGAGATGGGAAGGGTGTTCCATAGGAATGGTACTGCCCTAGAGAAGTCTTTATGGTGAGCAACAGAGGTAGGGGTACAAGCAGAGGATAGATGTAGATCTTTGGACATATTTGTGTATTTGTGAGGATACTGTGTTCTCAAGTTGAGCTTCCCATATATTGTTTATATTTTCTTTGTCAAATAAAAAGCAAGGTATGACAAAGTACTTTTATTAAGCAATTTTTGATGGAGATGATTTCATTGAGATGCTAAATCTTTTTTGCCTGGTTTGATACAGACAGTACATTTTCATCGAGACACAATCCAATCACATTTATGTTGACAACAGGTGAACTAATGCAATGCATAACTTTTTTTTTATTTTTTTGTGGCCTTCCCAACAAAATATTGAATATGTCTTTTTTTGACGGAAAAACAAGAGCAGATATAATGCATTATTTTATAACAGAGACACTCATGGTAAATATATTGTGTAATATTTCTTTAACATTCCCTCTCACAAAACAAGCAAGTCAGATAAAGTAGAGAAGAAACCACTTTAATGTTCATGCATGCACACACAACTTCAGCTAGTTCAATTATCTTGATTTATATTAAGAGTTAACGTTATATCACACTTATTGCTGTGGAATAAGTGATTGCATCGCGCTCTTTGCAATGCCATTCTATTCACCACGGCACTTTTCATTCTAATTTATTTTGTAAGACGTACAAGTCCTTGAGCTCAGTCAGTTTTCAGATTGCTCAGGAAAAAAAGCAAAGCTACAGTTTTTGTCACACAGCAAGAGGCATCTCACATACACTTCAATGTTAACAAAACATTCAGGAACAAATACATATGACAGGGCGGATTTATCAAGTTGGAATTTGAGCTTTTTTGGTCAAATGTAGGATTTGGTTGTAAATTCCATGCGGATGACTCTTTATTTAGTCATTTTCTCTTGTTTTACCTTAAAAAAAATGGAGGGTTATTTAGTAAAGTGAGAATTCAAAGTGAAATTGAATTCTAAGGTTAAAAAAATAAACTGAACTAGATAAAAATCTCTAAGTCAGCTCTATTTTTAATTCAGGATACATTGACTACTCTAGCCTAAAATGTAGAATTCCATTTAAATTCTCACTTTGAAAAATGTCTGTGATGGACTTTAAATTGAAAGTTATTACCCATGTCATACCAGAGAATAGGTTAACGTCATTAAATACAACAAAGGCTCAATCAACAAAAGGCTCCTTCCTATGGAATAGCCTACCTACCCCCATCAGACTCTCCCCTAATCTTTAATCTTTTAAGAAGTGCCTTAAAACCCATCTCTTTGGGAAAGCCTCCCAGAGTAACCTCTACCTAACATACCTGTCTCTTGCTCTGTCCTAAAGGGCAGCACTCTACTCTCTCCTCCAGCTCTGCATCACTCCCACCTTATTTGATTGTTATTCCCTGTCCTAATGTGTTTTATACCTCACTTCCTATAGACTGTGAGCTCGTTTGAGCAGGGCCCTCTTCAACCTATTGTTTCTGTAAGTTTTCTTGTAATTGTCCTATTTATAGTTAAATCCCCCCTCTCATAATATTGTAGAGCGCTACAGAATCTGTTGGCGCTATATAAATGGAAATAAAAAAATAATAAATGTGGGAAAGACAAATGCAGTGCAATTTAAAGCCCTTCATTGTTAAATAACTCGCCAGCCTTCAGGTTGTGCAGAATTTATAAATTCCATGGAATATTACAATCCGTCCAATAAGAAACCATGAAATCATTTATGGACACATTTGGATGAAAAGGTGCAAATTAAGTAAGTAAAGACTGTATATAGCAATTAGCATTACATTAGTTTCATTTTAAAGGACCTCTATAGTTACCCAGGCCACTTCACCTCAATAAAGTGGCTTGAGTGTGGTGGTCTTGTCCTTTTAACCCTGCAATGTAAAATATTGCAGTTTTTTTAATGAAAATGTAATGTTTATCTTGCAGGGTTAATGCTATGTCTAGTGGCTCTCATACTGACAGCCATTAGACGCGCTTCTGGTCACGTGACACGAAAGCCCCCATAGGAAAATACTGATTCAATGCTTTCCTATGGGGAAACTTGGAGGTGCACCTGGAGCTCCCTATGCAGATGCATCAGGTCATCGTGAGGAGCATTGGAATGAATCATGTCGGAGGAGGCTATACCTTCTACATGGCGCATTGGAAGGTGGAGAGGTAAAAAGCGCTGAGTAAACCATGTTTATTATTTATTTATTTATTTGTTAAGACATACATGGGGGGAGGAGGGGAGCGGGTAACTGGGGACAGGAACACTAAATCATTAGGAATACAGGTTTGTTTTTTTCAAAGTCAAATGCAACCCCACATGTATTAAGATAATATAACAATGGCTTGTAATAGGAAGACATTGTTACTAGTAAATGGGGAAAGTTAAAAGTAAAACATGAACAGGGAATGGAAACATGAATAGATACATGAATAGGCAAAGCACACCTAGAACATGGGGAGATATTACGATGTAAGTAAAGAGAATACTATATTGAGACACATATAGTGCAGAAAATGTGAAAGTAATATTATCTGTACTTATAAAATAAAACTCTATAAGATATCTAATTTTCAAGAATATCCAGTCCTGAGGTGTAAATGATATTATTACCCATACCACCATCACGTCACTTTTTCAGCCTCATAGAAGTGATATGTTGAGTTGATTCTGCTGGGCATAGAAACCATGACAATGAGGTGTACACAGATAATTCCACGTATTGATAGATGCATTAACTTACAGAGTTGCAGTATCTAACAAGCAAACACATAAGCTTTATTGCACAAGAATCCGTGTAGCTTCAAATGAACAGTGTGCTCGTCCTTGTCTAAAATGTGTTTCAGCAGATAAAAGGAGAAATTAATTCACAAAAGTAAAAAGTAAGATGATCATATGTTTAGCATCAGAATTCTATGTGTTTTACACCTGAAATACTCATTATAAATAAGGCCTTTTAAGCATATAAAGGAACACTACATTGGAAAAACAAAAAAGGCGTGTGCGTCTTGCCAGGGAGGGTGCATGCATTAAGGAACACCAGGAAGAACGCAGGAACCCTTGGGTAAAATGAGCTTTGTGGACAGACACATTGTGACTTGGGGGAGAAGACAGACACACTCGAGCAGTGCACATCAGACACTGCCATTTGCTCTCTGAAGCTCACAGAAGTGGAAAATAAACTTCCCAGTTGTCTGATTAACAGCCGCAGAGGTTTTTCTGCAGTGATTTATAAAGGTGTCGATTTCAAATAGAAGCTGAGGTGCTTTATCTGTGCAAAGCGGTCCATTAATTACCAGTAATCATCATAAAGCTTTTACATATTTGTTAAATTTCTATGTACTTCAAACTTGAAGGGTTAGTCCAACCCTTTAAAGAGAATAAAATAAGAAACTTTACTTTAAAATACCCTACTGGGCATTACTCAATAGGTGCCCCCATGCCTCTATAGGTGCCACCTGCAAAAGAAATGATAAACATACTGGAAATCCAGCACCAGCAAAGCTCCCATCACTGAATTCCATGCCTCACTCTCCATGCTCCAATCAAATGCTCATAGATTGGACCGTTTCACCTCCCAAAGTGCATGCCTGTGCTGAATCAAATAGGGGATGGAGTGGGTGGACAGAGGGAGGGGATCCTGCAAGGGAGAAACCCTTCTCGACATCATGCTATGCGCACTGACAACAGACATCATTTTTGCACCAAATTCACATAAGGCACATAGGAAAAAAGTTCCAGCTGCCTAAGTCACGTGTGCCGGATGTGTAACTAGCCCCCTGCACAAAAGTGCAGATTACGGTGTATGTGAACATACAGACTCTTACCATCACGGCCACTTTGAGAAGCAGAGGCGGTAACGGTGGATGGGGTAATTCTTTATGGTGTATATTTTAGAAAAGGACACAATGCTGATTGTAAAGGTATGTGGATGGAAACGTGAAAGGAGTCATATTCTATGTTATATAGAAGAAAAGGTTACACAAGCATCTTAAACAATAGAGAACCAATATCATAAATTATAACTTGACAGAATATCTGATAGATGCATGCAATAGGATGACTACATGCTACAAGATATTCTGGACATCAAATTAAATGGCGAATTAGAACAGGTTGGTGGGGTTGGGTATGGAGAATATCATTAGGGCATTCCATTCTTAAATGCCATCAATTGCGTCTTCTACTTTACTTTCAAGAAATTGTGCATATTTTAGAGGATGTATTCAATTTAGGTTGCGATGTTTCCGTTGAGAGATCAGCTTGTGGGTCTTCTTTTTGCGTCCTTAAACCTGGGTGACTTAAAAAGAAAGAAGAACTAAGTAACAAAAGTATAAGAGTTCCTTCCTGACCCAAGCCTTACATCTACTCCAACATAGTTTGGCTTTAGTCCATCAAGCAAATAGGATTTCAGACTCTTGCTAAGTGTGAAAAATGGATGAAGATATATTAAGCCGCTTACTGCTGGGCAGACTAGAAATCCATTGCTTTGCCAAATTATTAAGGCATAAATCGTACAAAACTTTGTTTTAGGTTTACAGTGAACCTGGAGATGCTGCGAAATGGGCATTTTATTGTATCTTTAGAAGATAGGTTTTGTGCTGGGAGGCATGCTTTGTTTTTTTCTCATTTAAAAAGTTTCTTTCAATTTTCAAATATCAAAAAAAGTATAAAAAAAAACAAAAAAGGAAGATACAATTAATTTAATATACTTTAAAGAAGTCTTAAAGCAGAACTCGTTTTTTTTCATTTTCTTTTATTTATTCTTCTTGTGTAAGAATGATTATACTGTCCCCACCATCCTTATTTATATTTATTATTGTTTCTTTTTGCGCCAGATTGTAGTTAGTTTGGTGCCACCATTTTGTTCAAATCTCTGTCTACGTCTACAATTTGCCCTTCTGTGTAATTATTTTTGGGTGATGAATTATGGGTAAATTAGCTTGGCAATTAAAACACAACCTTGCTTAAGAACCTCCAACTGACAAAGATTACCACTCCAGATCACATTCTATATGAGAAACACTAGTACCTTCTTTTTCTTATGTATACAAAAAAAAAAAGGTGAATTTTCAAAGATAAAAATTAGGTAAATAGATTAAAAGAAATGTTAAAGGAACACTCTAAACACTTAAATTTAAAAAAGGAAAAACATATATGAAATAAAATGTGATAGGATAAATTAATTAGAATAATTTGTTGTTAATAGTATATTATTGATGCTAACGTATGATCAATGCGAATGAGAAACCAAAGTGTTGGATTCCTCCATAATTTTGGAATCAGGCTTCTAGCCACCAAAAGGATGTAAAAGCCATAGATATAGCCCTATATGGAATTTTCCAAGGATATACATTAAAAAAAAAAAAAAAAAAAGTAGGTGGAGTATATTTAGACTGGGGAAGTATGATAACTAGAAAGAAAATAATGTTTGATACTTTGCTATATTTGTACATAACGCAATGCAAAATAAATGAAAAAGTATTAAACCACTATGGATTTGCCTAAATATCATTCAACGGTGTGCAAGGAGATGAGATGTTGGGCAGAATCTTTTAAACATAAATTTTTTTTATCCTAGATTTAGATCCCCTCCGTTTTAATTTTAAAAAGTAACCAAACTGTGAGTGTGAATGTGTTTAAGGGACAGGAGTCCTCCTTTTATAAGCAAATCATAATTACTATTCTGTGTTAATAATTTATACATTTGGCCTTTAATTACAAAATAGTAGTTTTTCTGTAGAACTGCAAAACCTTATGTCCAGTTTTATCACTTATATCTGTCTTTTAAAATTAAACCACACGGTTTTACAGAAAAATTAGAGTAACAAAATATATTTCCATGGAGATTAATAATAGCACGTTCTGAATGTAAATGTATTTCAAATGTAGGTGAGCATAACAAAACATTGCTGATTATTTTATGTCACTTGAAATATAGTTTTTTTTGACAGTACTATCTGTATGTAGGTGTGACGAAGTGCCCTTCGCCACTTGGTCCTGGAGAGGCCTACTTGCCAGCCTCCTCCCCTGTGACTATGACGCTTTCATGTATCTGGCTTTAAAGCCCCTAGTATACCTTCAGACAGACTATTTATGTAGGCTGCTTTATTTATCTTATGTTTTAGTCACCCTGTACCCATTATAGGTGCAGGGTGTGTGTAATGTAATTGTTTATAGTGTGTGTGTGTGTACTGTGTAATGTATTGCCTGCTCTCTTGTATTGCTGAGGTTTGCTACCAACTAGGTGGGTTTGGCTATGGAGCTGGTCTAGTGCCCTCTGTTGGTAGCAACAGCAATATGCACTACCTGAATTGCAAGACTGGTTCATTTGCATATTCAGGTAGATTTGTATATTGCTAATTCTGCAGGCAGGTGAGATATTTACTGTTAAATATTGTCTCCCCCTACCCCTTTAAAAATGTCCCATTGTGTTGTGATAAGTCACTGTGTGTTGCTTGATTTGGTTTGACTGTTTGTGATTTTATTGAGTTTTCACAACAATGTTATTGTGGTGACCCTATTGGCTGGTCCCAAGGGAATAAAGGTTTTGACAGTTCTTCTTGATCCCTCTAAATGTAGCCTTGTCTCGTTATTGGAGGGAGCTGTTATAATCACACTGGGGATTGCTATGCTCTGCATGCTCCCCTGAGCTTGAGTCACTTAGCTCTTTTAAGAGCTTGTTCCTGACACGCTCTCCTTGGAGGAGGGGTCTTCACCACACAGTCCTGAATGCTGGAGGTTCGTACAGGGTGGAAGGAAGAGTTCTTTCCCACACAGTCCTGGAGGACGGAAGCTGATCCAGGGTGGAAGGAAGATGGCGAGACTCCAGTCAAGATACGGCGGTTGCGGGGTCTGCGGTGGTTGTGGTGTCTGCTGCACTGCTTGGAGTCCTCAGGAAGCGCTAGGAGCATCCGTCAACGGAGGAGTACTCAGTCGGAGTACAAGGAGCTCCGTTACAGTAGGTATAGGCCATGTTTGAGTATATATCTCGGAACACTAGAAGGTATAGATTTGGAACCAGGGATGGATGGTCCAGAAAAAAAGAGGGATGGCAACTTGCATAGGGGTAAATATCTTGAGTTTGCTCAGCACTGGGCATCTAATGATGGGTGTGACAGGCCTCTCTGTCTCTGGATTACTGTTGCTTCACCTTGGTTTGTCTGTTTGTTCAGTTATCGCCCTGTCCGTATGGTCCCTATGTTTAATTCCCTTTTTCCCGAATGAACTACCGAATGGCGGGCCACCCAGCAGGGAAGTGTGCTGCTTGTTAACCTCTTGGCCTCATTAGAATGTTGTGGCTAACCGCATACACTTTCTATCGTCGAATGGTCGGCTGGGTGGTCATCGTTCGTATGAACGAACACGTGGCGGCGGCCATCTTGGACATGTGAACGCCCAGCGGTGTTCGGTGACGAATCTATGGAACTAAAAACAGACACTATTTTCATATGAACACCACTGAAGCCGCCGACCCTCCTTCATCTTGTTCATTCATTCATACGAATGCCATGCAGTTCGGTATATTACTATGCGAACAGAGCCATCCCAGATAGCTATCCCATGGAGCCCATTCGTATGACGAAAAGACTATGTGAAAGACTTTGGCTTCATGGCGATTGAACTGTGTGTATAGGATCTGAGCACTGTTCGGTGATATTGTGCGCTCAGGTCTAAGCTATCTGGGGATTCGTTGAACATGGGGATTCTGTTCGGTAGTTTAGGAATTATGTATTTTTATGCATTTTTATTATCCTTGTGAAATGGAGGTTATGCTCTATCCTTGGAGATAATTGAGTTACTTCTAGCACTTAACCCAATTATCTCCAAGATAGAGAGGAGGGTCCTATACTGTCCAGGTGGGAGTTTTTATAACTGTACTGTTGTGATTGGTTATTGTAAGAATTTGTCCCAGTCTTCCTGCATAAAAGCCGGGCATGTAGCCCACATTAAACAGATTCCTGTTTGACCCTCAATACAGAGCCTCGTCTCGTACTTGGGGGGGATTATTCGTGTGTTTTCCTGTTCGGCGGTTAGGAGTGTTCGGTAGCTGACTTCTCATTCGGGAAGGGAACATCTTTGGTGGCATTAACCCCTTCTATACCTGGGGTGCCGTTACAATGGGCTTGTGCTATGATGATTGGGAACATTTCTCTGGTTTCCTCAAATGGGTACAAATGGAATATGTGGTCCAATGTGGCGATCCTCAACTGCTTCCATATTAATGGAATACTTATTTTATACTTGCATTTTTTCAGTTAATTTAGAGATTTCACTTTTTATTTCTTGTCGTATTTCTATAGAGTTTTTTGAGATTTCTCTCTTTATTTCTTCTAAGATAGATTGTAGACTTTCATTCAGTACTTTAGTAGTAATTTCTTCCTTTTCTATGTTGTCTTTGTTTATATCCATATTAAATGGCTTTAAATTTGTTAAAGATGATCTCGGTTTAATCCCTTTTGAATCTTTAGATTGAGGAGAGATAAATGTGTCCAGGTTCTTTTCTTGATGTACTTCTGCTTTATCTCCTTTATCTCGGTTTGATGGAAATTTAGGGTCTTGAACTATTTTTTTAGGAGCCATCAGCTTCCTTCTGTATTACAGACCTTCTGATTTGTCTTAACTCACTTTCCTCTGATTTAGTTTTTGTGTACAAAGACTTTTTTTTTTCCTTTATACAAATATATATGATAGATTAATATATGAAGTGAACACAGTCTTTTTTTTTTTTAATCTTTGTTTTTCTTTTCCTTCCGTTTATTTTTTTTAATATTTTTTTATATATTTTTTTTTCTTTATGCAAATATATATGATAAGTTAATATATGAAGTGAACACAATTCTATAAATTTCTATAAACACAGTGAACCAAAAATTAAGTGAAAAAAAAAAAATTCTTATCTTTTAAATTAAGTTTCTTATCATCTAAACGGAGTTGCAACCTTGGACTTGCAGTATTAGGAGTTGTAGTTCCAGGGTGCGTCAAACCATCAGATGCTCCAACAGGTAATCTTATTTTTTGACCTGTGAGATTGTTGATAGCACAGGATTTTCAGGATTTCAGTGATAATATATGTTGTTTTCAAAAGGGTGCAAATAGGCGAATAAACATCACATAAAAAAAGAACTTAGAGCAGTATTTTTCGGAAAGTAATTGGAGCACGCTGTTACAGCGCACTATCGCAGCGTTCCGGAAAACTTCAATAGTTTTAGCGATTCCGCTTAATTCTGTTTGAAATATAAATTCGTTAGAGAGAGACTTCAGGTAATTTGTAAAATCAAGAGGTATCAGGAGGTATCCGACGGCTTAATGGTCTATCAGCATGTCGGCATGTCGGCATGTCGGCGTCTCACAGCGTCTCACCACGCTTACAGCTCACACGCTTACAGTTTGCAGCTCTCACAGCCCTTAGACCGCCATCACATCCCCTCCTCACGACGCACGGCTACGTCCTGCGTCCGCCCCTCGACCACATGACCTCTATACTTGCATTTTTTCAATTTAATGTAAAGGTCCCATTATTAAAATTGTATCTTGATGCCCAAATGCCACTGATATCACCTACTAAGAACTGTTAATTTATGATTTTGGAAAATGTAGCTCATATTTTATATAAAATAAAGAACTAATATCTGGTGAAGTTATAGCTTCTAAAATACTATTTAATTAATTATGCACGATGGGAAGAAAGTTTTTTTTTTTTGTAGAAAGCTTCATTGCACTGGCATTAAGTTTGGAAGAAATTGCCTGCATGAAAAATGAAAGATTTTAGCAGTGAATAAATTGTGTTTGCTGAAGTGTATCTTAGAACATATTCAGGGGGAGGTAACAGGAATTATATCGCTGTTTGTCTGCATGCCCACTTCTGAGGCTAGTGTGAGGAATGTCCTCTGCAGCATTAATTGATACAAAAAATATAGAACATCTATTAACAATAAAGTTTTCCGGTAGGTATAATAGTATTCATGTTCAGTTAAATTGTGCTTGGAATTGTGCCTTTTTAAAAGGGCAAGTAAATAAAAATAGATATAAGTATATAGACAGGTAACCTTTTTTTAAATATTTAAAAAAATAATAATCTGAAAGCTTTTGTTAAATATGTAACTGTACAGTTGAGCGGGTCAAGACTAAAATCAGCTGATTTAGACCAAGTATTTCAAGGTTTAACCCCTGCACATTGTACTGTATATATATATATATATATATATATATATATATATATATATATATATATATATATATATATATCACCTTAAATGAATAAAGAAATACAATTGACATATCTATAGAATAAAATACATAATAGAAATGTAAATAAATGCAAAAACAATAAACAACCACTGATTCTAATTTTTTCCCCACTTTTAAATACCTTCATTTTGCATGGTATAATACTTCATTAATGGGACTCTTTAGGCACCCAGATCACCTCATCTCACTGAAGTTGTTTGGGTGCCATGCTCCACCCCCCCCTTATTTTAACCGTGCAGTTGAAAATAATGCCATCCTGCAGGAACCACAATGTTTCCATTGCAGGGTTAACCTACAGGGAGTGCAGAATTATTAGGCAAATGAGTATTTTGACCACATCATCCTCTTTATGCATGTTGTCTTACTCCTAGCTGTATAGGCTCGAAAGCCTACTACCAATTAAGCATATTAGGTGATGTGCATCTCTGTAATGAGAAGGGGTGTGGTCTAATGACATCAACACCCTATATCAGGTGTGCATAATTATTAGGCAACTTCCTTTCCTTTGGCAAAATGGGTCAAAAGAAGGACTTGACAGGCTCAGAAAAGTCAAAAATAGTGAGATATCTTGCAGAGGGATGCAGCACTCTTAAAATTGCAAAGCTTCTGAAGCGTGATCATCGAACAATCAAGCGTTTCATTCAAAATAGTCAACAGGGTCGCAAGAAGCGTGTGGAAAAACCAAGGCGCAAAATAACTGCCCATGAACTGAGAAAAGTCAAGCGTGCAGCTGCCACGATGCCACTTGCCACCAGTTTGGCCATATTTCAGAGCTGCAACATCACTGGAGTGCCCAAAAGCACAAGGTGTGCAATACTCAGAGACATGGCCAAGGTAAGAAAGGCTGAAAGACGACCACCACTGAACAAGACACACAAGCTGAAACGTCAAGACTGGGCCAAGAAATATCTCAAGACTGATTTTTCTAAGGTTTTATGGACTGATGAAATGAGAGTGAGTCTTGATGGGCCAGATGGATGGGCCCGTGGCTGGATTGGTAAAGGGCAGAGAGCTCCAGTCCGACTCAGACGCCAGCAAGGTGGAGGTGGAGTACTGGTTTGGGCTGGTATCATCAAAGATGAGCTTGTGGGGCCTTTTCGGGTTGAGGATGGAGTCAAGCTCAACTCCCAGTCCTACTGCCAGTTCCTGGAAGACACCTTCTTCAAGCAGTGGTACAGGAAGAAGTCTGCATCCTTCAAGAAAAACATGATTTTCATGCAGGACAATGCTCCATCACACGCGTCCAAGTACTCCACAGCGTGGCTGGCAAGAAAGGGTATAAAAGAAGAAAATCTAATGACATGGCCTCCTTGTTCACCTGATCTGAACCCCATTGAGAACCTGTGGTCCATCATCAAATGTGAGATTTACAAGGAGGGAAAACAGTACACCTCTCTGAACAGTGTCTGGGAGGCTGTGGTTGCTGCTGCACGCAATGTTGATGGTGAACAGATCAAAACACTGACAGAATCCATGGATGGCAGGCTTTTGAGTGTCCTTGCAAAGAAAGGTGGCTATATTGGTCACTGATTTGTTTTTGTTTTGTTTTTGAATGTCAGAAATGTATATTTGTGAATGTTGAGATGTTATATTGGTTTCACTGGTAATAATAAATAATTGAAATGGGTATATATTTGTTTTTTGTTAAGTTGCCTAATAATTATGCACAGTAATAGTCACCTGCACACACAGATATCCCCCTAACATAGCTATAACTAAAACAAACTAAAAACTACTTCCAAAAATATTCAGCTTTGATATTAATGAGTTTTTTGGGTTCATTGAGAACATGGTTGTTGTTCAATAATAAAATTAATCCTCAAAAATACAACTTGCCTAATAATTCTGCACTCCCTGTATATCTAGAGACTGTAATACTGGGGAGACACTTTTTTAATCAGATAGTCCCAGAAAGTCCTCGTGATTGGTGCAACGTGGTGTTTTTCCAAATATGCGCACTAGCCTCCCAATGCTTTATTATATGAAAGCATTGGATTGGCTGAGATCGTCAATCTAAATTGCCATCAATGGTGGCTAAATAGAGCACTGAAATTGACTTTGAACTATGGGAACTAAAGTCCAGCAAATCACCCTGCATTCTCTATGGGGGTGATGATTTAAAGGAGTTACTTTTCTATACAAAATTTGAGTCTGCTGCCGATGACTGTTAACCATGGCAGCCAAATATTTCTGCCATGTGAAAAAAAATACACAAAATAAAAGTATGTCTCGTCTGGATTCTATGTAAAGTCAAAGTTCTTGGAAGGATTTATGGTTAGAATATCTTTATAGAAGTCGGTGTGGGTACTGTAAGCCTATCTTAGGGCTTAGTGCTATAGCTGCAATTAAGGCTATTTGAATGCTAAATAATTGCTATTCAGCTACTGACTATATAAGCATTTGAGTGAGTTTCACACAGCAAAGTTTGACTTAAACAAAGTTGTCTGGACTACTGATTGCCATTTTGGCTGCTGTGAATCGTCAACGAGCAGAAGCAATAATGTTTAATTTAAAGGGACTTAAGGCAGTGCACCCTGTATTACATTATACTGATAATACATTAAAGGAAATATTAGTGAAATAATGCAATTTATAAAAAGTAACAATGCATTGTAACAATGTGTACATTTGTGATACACTTCATCTCTCTACTAACACATGGCAAAATACCACTAAAGGAAACAATAGGCACCCGGACCACTTCAGCTTATTGGGTGCAGTGTCCTAGGCCCCTTATGGTAATTATTGCAGTTTTTGATAAAAATCATGCGAGGGGGGCACTATAGGGAGCTATGGTGCCTGGAAGACAACTGTGTTTTCCTAGCACTATAGGTTTCCCTTTCACTCTCTACTTAAGACTTTAATAAGCCTGTGAGGTGCAAACTTCTTTGACACAATCTACATGAGAGTCCATCTACCTTTCTTTGAAACACAACTATAATAGTTACATTTTAGACGTGTTGGTCTGTTTAATCATGAAAAAAATCAGAGAACAGCAGACTAAGAGAATTTCTATAGGTTATCTGATGAAACAAACATTCTTTAATATCCCTTTAATTAATATAATCACTGCTTATCTTAAAATATTCTATAACAAAAGGATGAGGGATGAATGTCTGAATGCCTAGTGTTATCTAACTTCTTGTAAACAAATTGCAGTTTGAGCAGCTTCTGCAGCATGCAATTAATACTAGGTTTTAATTTCTACGTTTATAAATCTTAAAAAAAAAAGAAAAAGAAAAACGAACAAGAAAGTGTAAATTAATCAGTTGCTTTTCTTCGGCATTAGTTATTTCTAATTTTTTTTCTTACTAATCAAGTAAAGCACCGTGAAAAAAAATTATGGAGTTCTTTGTATGCTTTATTGAAAATTATTTTACCGCTCATGTCTTTGAAACTGGGAGACAAATGTCAAATAGGAGAAATAATTCTAGACATAGATTGTAAACATTACTGAAACCTCACTGTAAAAAATACAGCAAATTGATTTTATCTTGGCAAACATGTGAATGAAAAAAACAAAACAAAACAAAAAAGACAGACGAAAAACTGGTATTCTCAAATATAATGATTTCATATAATAGGGTCCTTACAATATTTTAAATTATTGGTACAGAAATAAGACAATGCAGTTTTAAAAAAATGTTTTATTTTGATTGGTTAAAGCAGAACTGTCCCTTTCCTGCTCTATCACCACAGTAAACACTATTTTAGAGTTTATTGAATAATGCAATGAAGTTATGTAAAAAACGTACCCCCACTGCGTATCTGTATTTTTACAACTTTCATGCCCCATGATGTTTCAGGAGTATGTGTGTGTGACTGGACATCTAAGGGACTAATGAATATGTGTGCATCTGTGCTCTGAATTTTTGCCAGCTGTGCCATATTCGTACTATGCGTACAGCATTGGAAGCGTTAACTAATCTATATAATGTCCCAGGTTTTGCTCATCAAAGCATGCGAATGAACACAAAAGAAAATATAAATAAAAAAGTTAACACTATTAGTTGGCTTTTACTTTGTATGAAATGTTATCTATAGCTCTATATATCTATATTTACTCTGACTTTTCTTCAAAACAGGTTATACTATGAATACATCTGTGCTCCAGAGTTATATTTTTACCCCTAAACAATCATTGTCTTGTCTGATTCAAGGCACATTTTCAATCCACTCAAGTGAATAGGCACATAATGCAGGTGAAGGCATGTCTGTAAACATATCATTGTCTGCTTGTTAATTGCATTGAAGGCAAAGTATGATCACGAATATCACGAACCTAACAGCAAATGTATGATCATGAATATTCAAAGAGTCATGAGGAAAAAAATATGAAAATTAACATAATCAAAATATTTTCCAGTTCAGTTGGGAATAGGTAGGATGAATACATCCCCATTGTATAGCGCTACAGAATCTGATGGCACTATATGAATAAAAATAATGAATATTTAATTTCTACTTGATCCTTCAATACACTAAATACTATTTCAAAACTATTTCTGAAATAAACTATGAATTGTGAAAACAGAAATATGATATTTTCACTTGCATTACAGTTTTGAACATAGAAAGTGCCCAAACTGTCACGGGTGAGCGGTACGGAGACTAGGACCCCTGTGTGCCTGATGATAGGAGTCAACCTCGTGGAAATGAACAATCAGGACCTGGTGCAGGGTAACTACATGCCCCCTGGTGTTGAGCACCAGGGTTTGTGCAGCCACATACCAGGGCCCTGATGCAGCTTCTGCGGATCCCAGGAACTAGGAAAAATTATGCACACCTCCCAGAATCTGGATAGGGAGGCTCTGCAGCAGATATGTATCCAGTACTAGAAACAAGGCAATACTAGAACAGGCACCAAAGAAGAATAAGACAAGACTAAAAGAACCCAGAACCGGAGCAGGACAAAAAGCAGAGCTCAAAACATGTACACAAGACATGTGGGGAAGCAGAACAAGGCATGGACGGGACAGGACTGTACATGAACTGGGAAGACAAAATAAAACAAGACAAGAAATACAAGGCAAAACAAGAGGAGACATAACTAAGTACTAATATGTGTAATAAACATTGGAGATTTAGACATACATAAATGGCCAAGATGTATGCAGCCCACCACTGCACCAAAGTACTCCAAATACGGTGGGTCCTAACAGCCTAGATATGCACGACTAAATAAACAATAATAAAACACACACAGCACTTACCTGCAAAGGAATGAGCAGAAGAAATGAAACCACTGCCTGCAGGGCCAAACTGAAACAAAAAGGATTAATGGGAAAGGAACGGATGTGGCAACAAAAAACAAACATTTAAAGGAATCCAGGAGACTTGGAATTCCAGGAATGGAATACAGGAATGAACCCAGAAAACCAGACATAGAATAGAAAACCAGAAAAACCAAGAAAAACTAAACAAGAATTGTAAAAAGAGTACTGGATACCAGAAGCCATCGCCAGAAATGATCGGCAGCAGGAAAAGGACGTGACACAAACAGAGTTACGAAGGTTAAAAGAGGAAATGCTAATTCAAACCAATGCAGAATGGACCAGTGTGGCCTAGGTAGATCTTACTGCTATTTATTGTTCCCAAATTATTGAAATTTGCATTTACCTACATTTAATCCTATATGCCCTATTCTGCCTGCCTTGTACAAACTATATTATGCAACTTAATTATTTGTCTTCGGTGGTTTTTCTATGATTCAAAGTTAGATAGGGTAATACAGTCTATTATCCAAACAGAGGGATTTGGATTATTATTATTTATTATTTATAAAACGTCAGTAAATTCTGTATAGGGACTGTACTAGGCACCCAGACTAAAATCTCAGTGAAGTGGTCTGGGTGCAGTGCCCTGGTCTTTTTAACACTGTATCTAAAAACAGTGCCATTTTGCAGAAATGGCAATGTTTTCAATGCAGAGTTAACACATCTCTATAGATCCTCTTCCTAACAGTGACTAGAGCCCTTCCACAGCTATAAAAGAGTTAAATTCAGAGTTAAATGCTCATAGAGAGAATTTGATTTGGGCAGCGTGTGACGCAGGATGTAAGGTAAGTAAATCTTACCTTTTTGTTTTTGTTCGGGGGGCACACCTATATAAATAGGGGAACAGTATAGTGTTAGGAATACATGTTTGCAATCCTAACTCTATATTGCTCCTTTAAGAATACTGGTCAAGTATGTTGCACATGAAATTCAATGTAGATAAGTGTAAAGACATTTTAGGTCTTTGAAAAAAAAGAAATCACTTCAAAGTTACGTTTTTGACCTTCTTTTAGGCCAACACCAGATACAATGATGTGTGAAAGTGAACTGGATGGTGTGACGTCTTTTTTTTTTTTTTTTAGCATAAATTGCTATGTAGCTATGAGGTTTACACATTAAGCATCTTTAGATTGACATACTCTTCACTTTCCCACTCCAATCCAGATCTGTGCGATATCATACAATGCCTTTCCTGCATTTCCAGTTTAGAGGTCAATGGTTCAAAAAATGCTGTTCTTCTCTCTTCCTCTGCAAATGGTGAAATTGCTGTACCCTAACTTTGACTTATCTGTTGTTAATTTCCTGGGAAATAACATCACACTTTTCCTTCCTGCGAAGATATGTGAAGATCTTCCCCTTTACCAAAGAAGTTGACTTGGTGTTCTTATTAACATTTATTCTATGTATTGAACATGTCTGTCTTCCAAAAGCTGTACAGATCTCGCTCACTCTTTGACACATTGGTTTCCCTTATTTATGACTAGACAGGTTCAGTTTTTAATGTGGTAAGGATATTCTCTAGTGCTCTCTCATTATGGCATTTCAGATGTCCATATATCTCTGTGATAGATTCGAATTCAGAAAACACTTAACAAATGGGACCATCTTAACCATCTAATCTCTTCCTTAATTGTCTCTCGTTTATGCTGTGATGGTCTTCTCAATTATTCACACAAACCTGGAAATAGCTCTTTCATTTATTTAGTGCCACACTCTATATTGACCTGTAGTCTAATTGGTAGGTAACCTTATCATACAGGCACTGTATAAATCCATCTCTTGGCCTACAGCAGAATAAAAGGATCCCACCACCAGAAATGAGAAACAACTGGAAGCGTCTCCCTTACAATTATTGGCATAAACGTCATATACTGTAATTAAAGAAATTCACTATTTTCCTTCACAAGTCCTTTTTTCAAATTATTGACTCCTGGATCAAGTTCCGTCTTTACGGTGGTAACTCTTTCGACAATCTTGGATGCAAATGGCCTTTCCAGAAACTATAATCTTTATTTTTCCTCTTTTTCTTCTTTTATATTTCTCTCTTTCTTTTCTTTTACCCATTACCCATTTCCTTCACGCCTTAGGAGTTTGTTTTAATACATGTTGCCAATTTACTGTTTACTTACCCTTGTAGCTTTGCAATGTGCTGATAGCATTGTACTTAATATTGCTATGGTTTTGAAACAAATCAACAAAATAAAGATTGCAAAATAAAACTAAAGGTCAATGATTCATTGAGCTCGTCAAATCATTAAATCCTTTTTTGTTTCGCATAGTAGAGGCATTTATTAATATTATATATATATATATATATATATATATATATATATATATTATTTATTATATTTGGCAAAAAAAAAAACCCTAAACAAAATACCACCAAAAATATGATGTAGGTGCTAAAACTAAAATGCACAAAAACATTTGTTTCCATAAATTCGGCATAGAATTTAAAGTCTCACCCTGTGAGACCTGCATGGTGACTTTATACACTTTTCTAGGTAAGCATTGGAGTTGCTTTTCTAGGTCTTGCCTGGAGTTGCATTGTGTTGCAATGAGTTGGATATAAAATTCTTTGTTGCGCTTGCGTCTTGAGCCCACCGTACGTGGAGGAGAGGAAAGGGCTATTCACTGTCTCCATTACACTGAGAAGACAGACTAGAGGATGGTATTATCAGTGTCTTGATAAAAAAACACCTGCAGGCAAGTGAGTGGGGGAGACGGATAAGACAAGGGAAAATATATTGCAAATATCTGAATTATTTGCTGACAACCACTGTGTCAAGTTGAACATAGGTCTTTAAGTCTTATTGATATTACTCAACATCCAAACTACATGTCCTCACAAACACATTATTGGAAGGCTTACAGTCGGTGTTGTGTATAATAAACGTAAACTTATTATGGACTAGTTCCAATAAAGGTGGTTAGGTTCATTATATATTGCCTTTTATCTATCTATCTATCTGTCTGTCTGTCTGTCTGTCTGTCTGTTTTTCATTCCATTTTACTCAGGCTTTTTAATCATCAGATTTATTTGATATTATATGTACTATCAAATCTTTTATATATATTTTGTTACAGTAAAGCATTTAGTTTCCTTTTATTCAGTAAATTCAAGTGCATCTATGTTATTATTTGTTTTATTTGAATAAACCCACAATCCATGTCTAGTTAGCAGACTACAGCTAATTATTTGGTTGGAGTTTTTTTTATAGCTTTATGTTATTCTGTATCCTTTATATTTCTTCAAAAAGATTCCCATCAAGTCCCCTTCCTGTGGGGACTATTGTATTGAGTTGTGTAAGTGCAGCTATTTGATAATACTAATTTGTCAACACACATCACCTCACTTTTTCGCAAATACCCCAAATTATATCTGCAGTGCCTGATTCTACTTATTGTAATTTTCAGAAGTCTCCTGCCTAATCGTTCAAGAGTTCATGACCTTTTACCCTTTTGTTTTCTATTTCTAAACAAGAATATGAAATTTTGTAGTTCCAGGTGAAAAATTAAAGAGAAATGAGGAGTCTTGCACTTGTGCTGCAATTTCACTTATAAATGTTTAATGAAATAGCTGCAACTCATGAAATATATATATATATATATATATATATATATATATATATATCTATATAGACACAGGAATATTTGTGTCCTCTTCTTGAACAATATGTCAGGTGAGGTTAGTCAACATTAGTTAAAGAGATTCACTAAAATACATAATAAGAACAGTGTGTCAGTAAAATTATAACAAATTGTTTTTGATCATAAAGGTATTCCAAAGAGCTTTTGCTATCTCAGAAGAATTGTGACTTTAGTTGCTCCTACCCAGTCACTTCCCATCTAGTGGGAGCATGAATTAGCAAAATATATATTTTTTGTTTTCAAAGATTCTTCGCTCTTTTTTCATTGTGATTTTCTTTTGCCTTTCATTAGATCTGTCTCAAAACCATGCCCATTGCAGCCAAGTACTTTAGGCAGTTGCACATTTTACATTCTCAGTCTGACCAATAAAAATATTATAACTAACAGCTATAAATTTCACTGTAATGATAAACTGTGAAGACACTGTATGCATTGTGTACCTACTTATATCAGGGACACAGCGCTGGATGCATTGTGTACCTACTTATATCAGGGCCACGCCACTGGAGGCATTGTGTACCCACTTATATCAAGGACATGGCACTGGATGCATTGTGTACCTACTTATATCAGGGACACGGCACTGGATGCATTGTGTACCCACTTATATCAAGGACATGGCACTGGATGCATTTTGTACCTACTTATATCAGGGACACGGCACTGGATGCATTGTGTACCTACTTATATCAGGGACACGGCACTGGATGCATTTTGTACCCACTTATATCAGGGACACGGTGCTGTATGCATTGTGTACCCACTTATATCAGGGACATGGCACTGGATGCATTGTGTACCTACTTATATCAGGGACACGGCACTGGATGCATTGTGTACCCACTTATATCAGGGACACGGTGCTGTATGCATTGTGTACCCACTTATATCAGGGACACGGCACTGGATGCATTGTGTACCCACTTATATCAGGGACACGGCACTGGATGCATTGTGTACCTACTTATATCAGGGACATGACACTGGAGGCATTGTACCTACTTATATCAGGGACACGGCACTGGATGCATTGTGTACCTACTTATATCAGGGACACAGTGCTGTATGCATTGTGTACCCACTTATATCAGGGACACGGCACTGGATGCATTGTGTACCTACTTATATCAGGGCCACGGCACTGGAGGCATTGTGTACCCACTTATATCAGGGATATGCAGTCTAGCCGGCAATTAAAGGAATTGTAGTCCTGCAGAAAGTCAGGTAGCCCAATCTTTTGTATGTACAGTCATATAGAAAAATCATTTCCTGTAGCAAGGAGGTATGCTCTGAATTTTGTGGTCTTTTTAGCTATACACATTTTGACACATATAGTTACAAAGGTTAGACATGTTAATACTTTGCAATTACTGTTTCCACCTGTAGTCTGAATTTCTGACATATTCACAGGGATCAACAACAGTGAACAGTAAGCAACTTCTAACCTGCAGTCTTACACTTTATATGTAGTTTGACATACTAAACACATTCTATAGTGATAAATTTCTAACGTGCAGCCATACAACTTTTATGCTCTGCCTACTTATGTAAATTTCAAGAAACCACAACCACCTCTGGTATTTTACTTTATTTTTTTGTGTGCAAAGTGTAATAACATAAACTGCAATAATAATAAAGTGTGGCACTTTACACATGCACTTTTCAGATCACTTTATTTTGTTTTATTTTTCTTGTTTTTTCATGTTACTGATTGATGGTTTTTCAAGATACTTAATAAAAGTGATACTTTTTAATTAGGCAATATTTTTGAAACAAAAACAAAGAATATGACAGCTCTGAGAATGGATAAAAGCTTAGGGGAATTTAATAGTTTGCTTGCCCCCTGCTCAGGTCTACAAATAGTTTTTGCTCATTTGTGCCATTACAGAGTGAACATATACCATTTGTATACCAGACTGATCCTACCCATGAGGGCAGTCCAGAACCAAAATGCCGACAAGTTCTCTCTGCCCGAGAGATACAGCAACCCTGGACAATCATTTCGGCCTTCTTTGGCCATTATCGAGGTGTAGCTGATACCCGTCTAGGCGCCATGAGTTTTACTAAAATTTTGGCGATGGGGCTTTACTTAATTTATAACCAGATTAGAGATTTGGGTTAGGCCCATTGTTTTGCCTTGATTAACAAACTATTTGTAACAAAAATATTCATTTTAGTTTTGGTGGCAATAATTATCTTCCACTGACAGCACAAGCTGTGTAATGATGTACATTGAATCAGACTCCTTCTGTTCTCCCCTGTCTAGGTGTTGGAACGTAAAGAGATCAGTTGCACATGTGTAATAAAGTCAGGCATATCCAATGCACTTTTCCAGCATTCCTAGGGATAGAACACTGATTGGTTAGATCAATGCCCCCCTGGAGTGGATTTGGAAAGCACATGACAGAAGAAGCAGGTAAATATGAAAAAAATAAATCAGATTTACCTGCTTTCTTTGCAATCTGCAGAGTGAAGCAACCGTCTCATTCAAAGATAAAGCATTTGAATGGGACAGTGGTCTCAAAGTGATGCATGTCCCTTTGAGGGGTTTAGGGTGTTGATCAACTGATCAAAATGTGTTTTGGTGTTTTATAAAATTATCTTTGATGTTAAATTTGATAGTGTCCAATGGTTCACTTAATATGTCAATGAATCTTCTTCAGCAGGATTGTAATTATTTAATCTTGACTGTTTAATGTACATTGTAGTGTGTTTTTCATTTAACAGATAATGGTAAAAATGTTGTCGAACAGCAAGCTTGTGATTTTATCAATACTGTTTATGGCTCCTTGGCAGTTGTTAGGGTGTTGATAATGATCTAATATTTGATTGTGATCACCACCTAACATAGAACCTGGGGGAAGTGACTGCCATGTGCCATTACAGAGAGAACCTATTCCAAGGCATATCAGACTGATCTTACCCGTAAGGACAGTGCAGAACCGAAATGCTGGAAAGTTCTCTCTGCACAAGAGATCCAGCAACTCCAAATGATCGTTTTGGCCTTCTTTGGGCCTCGAGGTGTAGCCAATATCCTTTTAGGCACAGTAAGCACAAGGTCCTCGTCTGGATGACCCATTTAACTATGGGAGAACCAAGTTATTGGATTGCAACAAAAACAGAGAATATGAGAACTAGGAGGAAAAAAAAGCTTGGCAAAATATTTAATTATAAGCAAACAAACGTCTCATTACATTGATATAAAAAGATTTGTTCACAACTATTAATGTTTCTTCGATTTGGAAAAGTCAACACAGAGTGTGTCAAAGGTTGGGATGCATTATGTTGCAATGCTGAGGTATAAATATTTGGTCACATCGGCTGCGTCAGCTGTTTCTAGGGGGGTCTGTAAAGTTCTCAGCAACAATGCTGTAGTTTTCATTGACTTGAAGTTTAACTGGTCATAGCGTTTAGATTACTGCATCATGGAGCCACTAATCTTTTTTGTATTTTTTTTATTTGAAAGTGACAAATTTTACAAGCGAAGGTGCTTAGTATATTCAAGGTAAAAGAAAAGTTGCATCCTTTCCAAATGGAATTTGAAAATACATTAAACAGGAACAAATAATTAAAATTAAGGGGAAGAGAATTTACAATGTCAATACAGTCTCAACCCAATAGCTGCCCAGTTGCATTTTCATTTTTTTGTAGCCTACTCGCAGCACAGTAGGTAAGGGCAGGAGGGAGGATTTAACCTTCCTTATTTACTAATACTAAGTTTTTTTTTTACTTAGTATTAGTAATGTTGTCGGAAAGACCAAAATTACAAAAAGGGAGGGCTTTTTGTAATTTTGATCTTTCAGCTTCTTAGCAGATTGCTCCCCAATTCTTGTGGGATTGTCATAAGGATATCAAAAAGGAGCTATGTATGAAACAGGTCCCTAATTTGGGAACCTTAAATATGTCAATTCTCACACAGGTAGCAATTAAGGGAGTTATCTACTAAATGGCTGCAAGATGCATCCGCAACCTGCATCAGAATTTCATTCGTCCAAATGAATTTCTGGAATGAAAATAATGCACGAATTTTGTCTGAAAAGAAATTAACAAATGGACAAAATTCAGTTTAGATTAAATGAAATGTTTTTTTCGTCTGAATGTATTCAGACAAAACTAAAATGTTGGCGGCGCATGAATCTAGAAATCACATCAAATACACATATACACTAAATCCTAAATGCCAGCTTTGAAAACATTACAAGTTATTACAAGTTATTTGATACATAACTCCAATTAAATTGACTAATTATGTTGATAACTTTCAACTGATGATGTAATTCAAAGGCACAAAATCTTGCAATCTAGGCTTATGGAACTAACAGGGTTATTTACTAAGTGTAAATTCAAAGGTGGTTCAAAGTGAATGTCAAATATAAATCAATTCACTGTGATTTGTCAATATGTTTGTGTTGAGACATTAAGACCATCGTGCCAAAACCCATGTGGAGTTGTAATGTCACATGGCTGATTTGTCTCCTTTCCCAATTGACTTTGTAGCTTTCTAGCCAAGCAAAACAAATGTATTTACAAAGATACAGCTGGTCTTTGCTTTCAAGTTCTGTGTTGATTCTACATTTTAAATAAAATTAAAGTATTTTTAATATTGTATGCATGCATATGTCGGCATGCATGTAGGCATTTGTGCCAATAAAAATCGCATTCCATTCTATTTAATTCCTTCCTGTAACAGTTCTTTTATATTTATTTTTTTTAATTCTTTTTTTTTTTTTGTGTGCATAGATTATACATGGTGCATGTAAGCCGGCATTGCCAGAACAGCTGGTGCCAAAGATTCAACATACATTTAGAAACAATTGTGTGGCATGAGAAGTCGTGCACATTTTTAACGTTTATGTGAGGTTCAAACAGATGGGGTATAAAAGAGAAATTTCGATGATGAAACTAGTAAGTTCAGGCGTTAAGTGCTAATGTTTAAGCGAATCTGCCTGGTAAGCGGTAGGCAATATACATGGGTAATTAATAGTTGGAAGGAAAGTCAGGCATCATGTGACACTATGCTTTGATTGTCTGGCTAAGCATTATGGAAGTAGTGTCGTTATAGCTGCGCTTAAGTAATAGAGTATGTGCTGTCCCCCCCCATGTTCAGACTGTAGGAACTTGTGTTAGGTGAGTTCTAGTAATCTGAAACATTGGTAAACTGTGTAACAGACAGGCATTTCAAGGGTAAGACAGGATCTTGTCGGTAGGGTGTCTCCATGGCAGGCAACGTGTTGTCAGTCCCAGAACCAGATGGTCTCACTCAGTCTACGCCGAGACTTGGAAACAGGTGAGTGTAGTTCTGAGGTAGTGACCAGGTCCTTCCTAGAGGGGATGTGACAGGGTGTTTGGCGCCGCTTGTGGCGACGGGTCTTCTGTCTTTGCGGCACGGGTGAGTTCCCCAGGTGGCCTTTGGCTTAGGTGGGCTATATTTGCGAGGTGCAATGGCGTGCTGGGTGCATTCCCGGTCCGTGCTTCCCATTTTGCCCAGAAGCGGCTAAAATGCTCGTCCAGGTGTTGCTCCAGGGTGGCTTGGGGACCTGGTGCAGCTGGTGATAGCCGCTGCTCGGCTGAGGAAGGCCTGTCCTCCATTTTGGATGTGAGTGTGGTGGTCTTGATCCCCGCAGTGGCCGTCATCAGTAGGTGACAGATGCAATAGGGGGCATGCAGTGGAGACCAGGATTACCCCCACCAGTCCAAAAGGGGGGGATGGTAATACTCTGGGTACTCTGTCCATATTGGAGCCAGGAGAGCAGCCACCTCTCCCAGGCCCAAGCTCGCCTAGGCCACAAGCCTCCTGTGCATGGTAAAGGGTTGAGATGACCCGTGCTGGGTATCTCTGGGTTCAGCAACCTCCTCCGGTAGAGAATCAGGGAAGCTCCGGTCCACAGGAGCGAGCTGTCAGGCAGTGTACCCCGATTTTCGACACCAGACTCGGGAGCTCGTGTGGCGCACGTCTGGTCCGCTCGGCAGTCAGGCTCCGCTCTTTCTTTTATGGATTTTGCTCTCTATAAAATTAGGTAAATGTGTACAATAAGCGCTGTTTTACTCAATGTCAACTACCTGAAAAAAATGTGGAACACAATAATATTTTCTTTATTTTAGCTCTGGCCATTAAAGGTAGATTTTAAACCCCAAACAACTTTAGCTAAATATAGTGATTGGAGTGTATAGATCATGCCCCTGCAGTCATTCAACACTCATCTATCTGACATTTAGGAGTTATATAACTTTGTTTATGCAGCAGTAGCTACACCTCCCCTAGATGTGATTTAGAAAGCTTCCTGAAGCACTTCATGGAAAGAAGAGATCTAAACTTAAAACTTCCCTTAATGCACAGTATGTTTAATTTAGAACTTTTTAGCTCCTGCTCTGTTTATTGCCTTAGAGCATGCAACACCTTCAAGTATAGTGGGTGTTCAATTTACAGTAAATAAGAACTTATAAGGTAAACACACTGTGCTGTTAGATTTTATTGAAAATTAAGCCTTTTTTTCATGGAGGCAATGTGAGTCACAACCATGGGACCTATGGCTAGAATTACATAAACAAGCTCTGCCAAGCTCTGGCAGTGCCATGGCATATTAACACAGTAAATGCTTAAGCCTCCCATAGTTGGGCATTTCTTTGGTGTGCCCATGGCCCATTCAGCCCTGAATACATCAGTCAAAAAGCTGTAACCATTATGCACCATAGGTACAATTAAAATCCAAGACAAAGAACACAACAAAAATAATCCTTAAAAAGAAAAAAGAAAAGTCAAAAAGGTCCAGTGTGGCGGACCGCCTCCACCAATCGCTAGTGCTTATCCAGTACCACAAGCACTGTATCATACACCATAACCACCGTCATTCCCGCAGCCAGCCTTACAGCTTGTTTGGGGTCTCGCTGTCCTCCACCCACCCTGGACCCAAGACCGGGATCCAGCTTCCAATAGGTAGACCTCTCCTACTCCCGAGAGTATAGCAGGATAGCTCTTACAAGAGCTAGTGATTATAATCCAAGGGAGTATAGTGATTATAGCAATCCCCAGAGTGAATATAGCTGTTCCCTTCAAGAATGAGACAAGCCTCTGTGTTGAGGGTAAAGGAGAACTTGTTTAATGGCAGCCACAAATGATCTTATATGCAGGTCCCCATGCAAGGGGTTTACTATAACATATCCCAGGGGCATTCCCCACTGGACCTGAGAGGGGACTATGGCAAAGTACACACTGTAATTGCATTGGCTCTCAGGTCCAGGACACTCCCACACAAAACAGGGTACTCCCTCCCCTGTGCCTGAGAGATAATTACTTGAGTACACAAACATATGATTAAATTATCTCTCATTACAAGAAGCATGCAATACAACAATTCCCCAAAAGTACCCCTAAAACACACGGAAAGCCCACAAAAGTCACATCCCCTGATCTGGGGGACCAACATATCCAAAAATAACTCAGATCGGTTCAGGAGTTCGGGATTTCCATGGAAGTCATAATTTGACCGAGGCTCTTGCCCAAAAGAGTTCCATGAAATCAGGCTGTGCGGTCGGTCTCTTTTGGGAATCTTCAATACAGTCAAAATACCAAACGTAGCGGTTCATGGGTAGGCTCAATCTATGTGCCTTGTTTGAGAGCTTGCTCCCACCGAACGCCCTTCCCATACGAATCCAGCTGAACATATGTAGAGATGGAAGTCCCAGCGGTGTTCGCGCCGTCGAGTGTCCGATTACATTTCCATGCACTCGACGACCAAACATGTATGTGTTCGCGGCTAAAGATGGCCTCCGCCACTTGTTCGCATATACGAACGGTGACCACACAGCCGATAATCAATAAAATTGTGGTTAAACATAAGTCAGGCAGGTTAATGGGCTGCACACTCTACTTGCGGGTGGTCTGACTGTTCGGTAGTTTGTTCGGTATACAAACACAAACTCCTAATCCGTTGAGTAAGCTCTATATACCAAACCATATAAGTCCAAAAGGCACTGGCACTCAACCAAAGTTTATCACAGGGGCCATAGTCCCGGGGCAGGAGGCTGGCAAGCAGGCTCCTCCAATAGCCTGTGGTGATGTTCTGTTCGCCTCATCCAGTATGAAGGACGGGCTAATAAGAATGGTAAGGAATATGTGCTTGGTTTTTTAGCTTCCTATTATGATGACATCACAAATCAATTCAGTTCTGCCATAGCTAGGGCGCACATTGCAGTTGAGTTAGAGATTTTTCCTGATCAGCTTTTTTTGCCTCAGTTACAAATCAAATTTAATTTGTGAAAAAGGACCACTCTTGGCGACATTACAACTTCAATGGAATAAAGTTGGTGCGAGGAGGTTCCAAGCATTATCGGTCTACCCCTCCACTTCTGCTCCATGCCCAAGACCTCTATCAGGAAGTCCTGAACCGGGCATGACCAATAGGTTGAGAGTGTAATATGAAACCTATCAGTAGATAGATATATTTCCTTTTTCTCCATAGCAAGGATTATACTCAGTGATAAATAATTTCCTTTTAACCAATTTATTTAATATTACTTACTTATCATTGTCTCTTGCTTTATCATCGTTTAGCACTGGTAAGTCTCTGCTACCCACTTCCTGTATCTGATCATCATCAGTATTTACAATGGTGATATCATATGCATTTTCCAGGAATCAATTCATTACGATTTCACTTTGATTAGAAAATGAGTAATTGTTCGAACAATTTATCCTTAGTCTAATTAATTTGGCCCAGGGAATATTGTCAAGCCAAGTCTTCATATGATTAGTATTATGATTCACATAAAATGAATATCCACCTTTTTAAAATGATGTTTAACCTATGATTTTGCTATCCACAATATTCAATTACAGATCTGACATATAAGGATATATCTCCAATAATAGTAAAAATATTCAATCTGTTTTGTTTTAGTACTCTAAGTGGTATATGTAGCAAAACAGAATAGGGAGAGGATATTTTTCAGATACTTACATATTTTTTTAACCTCTTTAGTACCTTAGCAATGACCAAAAATTTTTATTTTGTGTTTTCAAAATGTAGGAATGCATTTTTTGCTTTAGTATGCAGACATAGGTGATATAACACACACACACACACACATACTAGTTTCAAAATGATTCAACCGCCTAAACAGAATGTCTCACAACAGCACAAATATGCAAAACAGGTGTTGACTCAAGCATTCCTGGTGCAACTAATCAAGAGGTTCAATAGTTGCACCAAGTGTGCTTGAGTTGTAACACTTGAAATACCTGAACTGACTAGGGTTTGTTGAGTGTCATGTTTAGCTGCATGTTAGAAATATGGCAAAGAGTGATGCATAAAGTTAAGAGAAGAGATCTTCATCCTTCACAACCAAGTTACAGGATACAAAAAGATAGTGAAGGCACTGAATGTTCCTAGAGGCACCACTGGAAGCATTCCAAGTTCAAAGTTGAAGGAACAGTGGTTAAAGAAGGCAGATTGTGAAAAACCCTCAAGTGACTGCAAATTATCTGCAGCAAGACTTGGTGGCAACAGGCACAGGAAACTTTAACTGATTGATTTAAGTACCAGGAAATTCTAGAAAAAAACATCATGCCATCTGTGAGGAAGCTGAATCTTGGGCGTCATTGGACCTTCCAACAAGACAGTGATCCCAAGCATACCTCAAATTCCACCAAGACTTGGTTGCAGAAAAAACAGACACATAAGTAGGATTAGGGTATATATGAGTGACACCTCCCAAGTGATCACAATGATAAAGGTGATACAACCTTGATATAGGAACAGTATTGTTAGCTTTGAATATCTATTGAGAAGGAGTCCTGGAAAATTCTACAGTAGTCATCACAATCTGACTTGAATCCCATCTCTGGTGGGACTTGAATAAAGCTGTTGCAGCATGTAAACCCAAGAACATTACTGAACAGGACGCCATTGCTCATGAGTAATTGGCTTAGATTAGGGAACGCTGCTAGAAGCTGGTGTCTGGCTATGCATCTCATTTGCAGCAGATCATAACAGCAAAAGGGTTCTCTACTAAGTACTAAAGATGCTTGCCATTAAAGGGTTGAATCGTTTTGAGACTGGAGAAGTCATTATAAGTTGTATTTTCAGTTGAATTTGGGGAAACCTTGAGAAGCATTCATTGTGTTGAGCGATTTTGATTGCTTTTTGTTTGATTTGTTTATTGCAAACAGCTGAAAGTCTGTACATTTTGACAATAAGTCTGATTTTTAATGGGGGTTGAAGAATTTTGATTACAACTGTATATATCATTGTTGTTTCTTACAGACAGAAAAAATCTCAAAAAATAATTTAAAGAATTACTACTTACAGGTAAGAAAACAGTATTATATTACATTAACACTATGGTAAACGTCTAATCTATAATGCAAGCCTCCCTGTGTGACACATTTTCTTTACAAGGGCTATAATTCTGTCACATATACTTTATTTCCCCATGCAATTATCCAGAAGCCAAATACGGCCATATTTTCATAGTTCTCATATTGTCATTTACCTCGTATTTGTCATATTACCCGACTTTATATCACCACTTATGTAGTTGCATTGTCTCCATGTATTATTCATTATTAATATATAGAAAAGCGTTCTGCATCCAGTGCTTTGCTACAAACTAGTTCCTTGCCTCATAACCACTTCAGTAATTCAAGAGGTTATGGTGCTTTGTGTGTCCATTTAAAAATGTACAAAGTATGACACGAACAAATTTTCACCTGGAAACATCAAACTGCTTTGGTGGAACTGTTGGACAAGCAAATCTCCTTTAGTGATTGGTGTGAAATATTCTACTGAAGGCAATGATCCCATTGATTTCAGCGATATGTATTATCTTATGATTTTGTAAAAATTGTTCAAGAAAACAAAGAATGTTTACCTTTTAGCCCTGTGCTTGTTGGCTTCAAATCGTCTATATGATCGCGTCTTTGGCTGCACCGTGTTTTGATGTTTAGATTCTTTCTGGTTCTCTGAAGTATCAGAAATAGCGGAACCATCTGTTACACTGTAGAAAACAGATGTAGTTTGATTACATGTGTACAGTTATAATGTGCAACCTTATTAACCTCTTTAGCACTGAATCATATTCATGAAAACAATTTATTTTAAACACAGGATGTCCAAACATAAAATCAGGATCAGTTAGGACCAGCACCATTGTGAGTGGCTGAGATCATCAATTCTGATAATGTCAGCCAAGGGGCGGGTTAGGGCGGAGCCAGCACCAGCACCAGCAAAAATAAGGTAAGTTTTACTATATTTAGGGGGGCAATGGGGTGCCAGCGGTGCTATATAGTGTTTTTAACTTAACACTATAGGGTCAGGAATACATGCTTGTGTCCCTATTGAACAGTGCTGCAGAATGTTGTATGTTGTATATAACTAATTCTAATATTTACTGCTGTAACTAGAAAACTTTACATACACTCACTTTACAGTGTTATTCACCAAAGTGAGAATTCTATATCCGTTTAAAACGAATTTCAAACTTAAGGCCAAAGTAGCCGAAACTTGAAGCAAACTGACTTAGAGAATGTTTGCACTTCAGCTATTTATACCTTGAATTTGCAGGGTTGCTCACTGGAGTGAAACTTCAACGTGGATATAAAGAGAATTTCTAATTTAAGACCAAAGCAGCCGAACTGCAGGCATTTCTGACTTAGAGAATTCTCAGAGTTCAGCTATTTTGACCTTAAATTTCAAATTCACTTTGATAAATTCACCTTGTATTCTCAATTTCAAACATTTGTGCTCACGATTCTTTTATAGCAAGGAGAAAGTGTTCTTTCTATTTTTTTTAGAACATGGGGAAAGTAAGATGTTCTGCTTCTAAAAATAATATGCAAACAGTTTGCGTTTGCTATTTCTGTCCATTTATTTAACATATTTTGGAAAAAAATGGCCTTCGAATTTTGGACCGATTACACAGACAGACTGAGAATCATCACTGTAAAGATTACTTGATGACTCAGGCCACTTATTCATGAAATCAGTATGCTTACTTGTGGGAAAGTGGTAATACATTTAAACATATAGCCCTTAAATGACCACTATAGGCACCCAGACCACTTCAGCTTAATGAAGTTGTCTGGGTGCCAGGTCCATCTGGGATTAACCCTTTCTGCTGTAAACATAGCAGTTCCAGAGAAACTGCTATGTTTACCTATGGGTTTCCTATGGACTGGCTGAATGCGCGCGTGTCTCTTGCTGCGCATGCACATTCAGCCGATGATGGTGAAAAGGAGGAGGAGAGTTCCCCGCGCCGAGGGAGCCCGGCGGGGGAAAACAGGTAAGATTTAACCCCTTCCACCCCCTGGAGCCCGGCGGGAGGGGGCCCTGAGGGTGGGGGGGACGACACCTAGAGACCCTATAGCCTTAAGGACACAGCTTCAAAAGCTTGTCTTGCACTTAAGGACACAAGAAATTTTCACTTTTTTTGCTGTTTGCGTTCAACTGCAATTTGTATTTTACTATTTTATTGCACCGACACATATTTAATACCGTTTTTTAAAGGACAAAAAGGGCTTTAAATTGATGTAACATGTACATATGTAAATGCTTATTTATTATAAAAAAATACAAAAAATGCCCAACAATGTAAAAATATTTTTTTTTTTTCTTCAGTTTTTGCAATAATAATGAGTGCATAATTTGTGCAGGTTAAGGAAAGTAATAAAAAATAAATTAATTTAGTTGTTCTGATTTACAGAATATATAATGTGTCTAGGATTTTCAGTTTTTTTTTGGTAGTAACAGCTCACAAAACACAAGGAGTAAAATAAACTTTTAGAGAGAAAACACAGAAAACACATATATAGACTCCTATATATTTAGGAGTCTAGCCAGCTCCTTGGTTTTGCAACCCTCCCTGTCACAGGTGCTAAAAGAGCTAAACTGGCTGTCGCTGGGATCCAGACGCACCCTTCATCTTTCCAGCTTTGTATTTAAAAGCTTTTCTGGAAAGCTCCCACCCTACCTGAGCAAAATGCTCTCCTCGGCTGTTCCCACCTCCTATAACCTCCGATCCAGTACCAGCACTTTATTTAGTCTACCTCAATAGAAAAAGAAAGCGGCTCGATCATCCTTTTCCTCCAGAGCACCACAATTATGGAACGACCTCCCGCACACTTTCAAATCTTCCCCAAGCCTAAAGTCCTTTAAGAGATTCCTCTCTACAACCCTCAAAACAGAATGCACGTGTTATGGTTGAGTATATATTTCATACCTGTTCTATGTTAACCCCTTGACGACCGATGACAGTTCAGGACCGTCATCGGTAACATACCGTTAAGGTGCAGCCCAGACAGTCTCCCCGCGGCAGATTAGGACCCCGGGGGCCATGTGATCGCTCAACAGAGCGGTTACATGGCCACAATAGGTGTCCTAGTGTCTGCCTGCAGGGGGACTGTCTATGCTGACAGGCAGTCTCCCTGCAAGTGTAAAAAAAAAAAAAATACATGTTAATGTTAAAAAAATAATAATTATATATGTGTATATATATGATATACAGTATAGACATATATTATATGTATATAATATATGTCTATATATCATATATATAATGTCACACTAAGTGAATTTTTATATTAAGTGTATTTTTATATATATATACATATAGTAATATAAAAATACACTTATAATTAAATTACACACGTATATATAATATATATATATATATATATATATATATATATATAAAATAACTATATATATGGTATATATATATTTTTATAAAATACAAATAATAAATAAATTAAATTAAATTAAAAAATGTAAAAATAATAATAAAAATTTAAAAAAATTATATATCTATATGAAATTTTATTCTAACTGTATTTTGATATTAATATATATATATACATATATATATTTATCTCGAAATACACTTAGAATGAAATTGTATATATATCTATGTATATATAAATAAATAAAAATAATACGAAATATACATATGTCCATATACAAAATTACATAAATAATTATATAAATATACACGTAGACTTCTAATATATAATCATGCATATATATTTAAATTCTATGGGCGTATTTATGTAATATTTTTACATAATTAAGTAATTTTATTGATTGCAATTTGTCCAGAGAATTAAATTTGCTAGCACTGTATTTTACCCTGTAACTTTCTATGACACCCTAAAACCTGTAAATGGGGGGTACTGTTTTACCCGGGAGACTTCGCTGAACACAAATATTAGTGATACAAAACAGTAAAACATATCACAGCGATGATATTGTCAGTGAAAGTGACTTTTTTTGCATTTTTCACACACAAACAGCACTTATACTGATGATATAATTGTTGTGATACGTTTTCCTGTTTTGAAACACTAATATTTGTGTTCAGCAAAGTCTCCCGAGTATAACAGTACCCCCCATGTACATTGAAAATTGCCAGGTTGGTTATGTTGCCTTTGAGAGGGTATGGTAGCCCAGGAATGAGAATTACCCCCATGATGGCATACCATTTGCAAAAGAAGACAACCCAAGGTATTGCAAATGGGGTATGTCCAGTCTTTTTTAGTAGCCACTTTAGTTTTTTACTTTTTTCACACACAAACAAATATGAACGCTACCTCTGGCCAGTGTTTGTGACTAAGTGGCTACTAAAAAAGACTGGACATACCCCATATTGAATACCCTGGGTTGTCTAATTTAAAAAAAATATGTACATGTGGGGTATGATTCAGAGATTTATGACAGATAATAGTGCTACAAAGTCACTATTGATACATTTTAAAAATATATATTTTGAAACAGCAATTTCCTATTTGTACTTATAGCCCTATAACTTGCAAAAAAGCACGTAAACACTGGGTGTTTTTAAACTCAGGACAAAATTTGGAATCTATTTAGCAGTTTTTTTCATTAGCTTTCGTAGGTAAGTAAAAGATTTTTCAAGCAAAAGTCAAAAAACATATATTTTTTTCAACTTTTCACCATATTTTATTATTTTTTAAAAATAAATTATATGACATGATACCAATAATGGTATGTAAATAAAGCCCTTTTTGTCCTGAAAAAAACAATATATAACTTGTATGGGAACAGTAAATGAGAGAAAGGGAAAATTACAGCTAAACACAAACACCACAAAAGTGTTAAAAGAGCACTGGTCCTTAACGTATAACATCGCAAAAACAGGCCGGTCCTGAAGGGGTTCAATTTTGTATATGTTGTGTATTAATATTGTTTTTGTATTTTATTGTACCCTATTGTATCAATGCAATGTTTTGTGGATCCACGACATACTTGAAAACAAGAGAAATCTCAATGTATCTTTCCTGGTAACCTATTTTATAAATAAATAAAATAAATAATTATATTATAAAGAGACTTAGAGATTTGGTTTGGTCTGAAATGAAATTTTGTCACAATTTTGAGTAATGCTGTGTTTTTTCAAAGTACTGTCATTTATCTGAATTCTATTTAAACTGAGTAGTGTGACAGCCAAGCCGATCTTGTTCATTCAAAAGTCCCAATTAGTTTTGTGGTGGCTACTGCTAATAGCCACCGCCATTCAGCACTTTGAATTTGTTAAAGGGATGTTATAGGCAATGTTCATTCATTGTAGGGTTTCCCTGGCAAGTTTTGCCTCAAACTAAAATATCTTGAACCGAATTGCAGTTTCAAAGTAAACTGAACATTTTTCGAGTGACATTCTTCGGAACCAAAAAGAAATCTGAACCGATGCAAATTTGAAAGAACAAATTTTTTTGGGCAGTGCACAAGTCTATTGTTTAATACTTTCAAAGTTGTAAAGTCCAAAGTCCTTTGAAATATTGTAAAAGATATTACAGAATGTATTCCGTTCTTCACCCATACTTGATGACATAATAAAAAACAATGACAGTCCAACTGCAGTCTGTAGAACATTCAGAGAGCTCAGCAGTATAGCTTGGAGGAAGGATTATTGACCAGCACTAAAAACTCTAAAAAGCTCAAGATACTCTGGAGAGTACTATCTAAACCCTGGAACTTTTGTTCTGGATGATAGCTAGACACTACCACTAGCCACTTGCATTTTTATTTTTTTGGCTAATGCACATTTGAGAGAAAATAGTTTCACAAAACGGTGTATGTTGCCCATTTTTCTGCATGCAAAGGGTTATTGTATGATTCGATATTTAGCGCTTGAAATCAATTATAAAACAAATTTGCTCATTTAGCACAACCTCTCTTTACATAATTGGAAGTACTTATTTTTCTATTGCCCCGTTGGTGCATCACTAAAAATATATGTATAACCCATAGTTTGCCTCACAGTATCATGCACACAGAAATTAGCTATGTGGTGGGATTTCATTTTGACAAACATTAACAAGCTCATTAAGCTTTGTTTGTATACTCCCGATGGAGCTTGACAATTGTTGTCTTTCATAGAGTACACAGAAGAGGTAAACATTCAAATGATAGTCAAACATCATTTTATTCACAGGATGAGACATCATGCACTTTAGTATTGCCTTTATATTATATTACTATCAGACTAAACAATAAATACATTCTACCCAGTTTCAACTCCCATTAATGCATTTAGATGTTTTGTTGCCAAATCTAAGGTAGACTCACATAAAAATTGTAACAATTAAGCATGCTTGCATTTAAACGTTCACTTTATACGTATGCAAAGTGCGTGTATGTACATATGTGTGAATGCATAGGTCTGCATGTAATATGTGTGAATGCATGTGAATGCGTAATGTACAGAACTGTTTATATCATCCTCTTTGGCTTCATCACATAGCAAACAATGGCTACACATGTCCATATGAATCCAATTCTTACTCACATATACATAAGTGTGTATTTACACACATGGAACTTTACTGAATGTATTTATTTGAGAAAAAGGTGCAAGAAAGGATGAAGAGAAGTGTTTGTACAGCTAAACATGGCACTATGTATAAGTGTCATTCTGTATCGGAGTGTGTTTAACTCCGCATACATTGCCATCCTTGTCAAGTAGGCATTGCCATAATGCTTTTCTGGCAAAGCATTATGGGAGAATTTGTTTAACACAACTGGAAGTGTGCACTTTCCATAGAATAGGAAGATGACTTGCACCCCATCTGCTGTTTTGGGCACAGACTTAAATGACCAAAGGTCAAACACTGACATATTGAAGTTTTCAATATATTGAATTTTACTCATGTATATTGTTTATAATGAGTACAAATTGCAGTTACTCAGCTTTCCCAATGAATTTTAAAGCACTGTTTTCCAATAAAATGTGGTGGTGCAGAAGTGATTAAAAATCCCTTCTGTCACTTACCTGAGTCTAGCGCTCGGGCTCCTCCTCCGCTGATGTCAGCTGGCGGGGGAGACCTAATGAACATGCGTGGCAATGGATGTGCTCGCTTTGGGACTTCCCCTATAGGAAATCATTATACAATGCTTTACTATTGGGTTTCGGTTGATGCTGTACATCCTAATGTATAGTGTGAGGACATTTAGATTCAGGTGACCAAAAGTTGCCTAACGACCCGGAAGTCCCTCTGGTGGCTGTTTGGTAGACAGCCACTAGAGGTGGAGTTAACCCACAAAGGTAATTATTGCAGGTTATTAAAAACAGCAGTAATTATCATTGCAGGGTTAAGGGACCTGGGACACTGCACCCAGACCACGTCAATGAGCTGAAGTGGTATGGGTGCCTATAGTGTTCCTTTAAATTAGATGTTGTATTTACAAAATATAAACCCCAAGTATACCTATATGATTTTAATATGACTAAAATAAGTTACACATTAGTTTTGTATTCATGACCATCACAAATTCAACTAATGTAAAAACAAACAAATCAAGTTTCCAAGAATGTCATAATTCTGCTTCACATGAACTGTGATTCTGGGAAAATCATCTAACGATCCCAACTTGAAAATGGTAATTTAAGCCAAGGATTTAAATTCTTTATTATTGTAATAATGGCAAAATTAAAAGAGTAAACGGCGGCTTTGTAATGGTGCTAATATTTCAAATGTCTGTGGAATTAAAATATAATGAGAGAAATGTGTCATGGAGTAGACAGAAAAGGCTTTTTAATGTGACACCTAGTGGCTATGATGGAGAGTTGCGTGGTACTTTTCTAAATTTATTCTACATTTTTACAGCAGTGCATAGCTGATTATATCTTGCATCCTTTAATCTGCTCTGGATTTTAGCTGTATAATGGAATCTGAACCGAGACCACTGGTATCCTTAAGATCTCCTGATAGATTTAAAACCTCAAATCACAATTGATCTTAGCTGGCTTAGAAGTCTGAGACCTGGCACCGAAGGCTCTAAATCTCAAGGTTATTTCCAAACCACCCAGCTCAGGAATTTATTGTTTAATCGCACTATTTCTGTAACTCACCAAGATTCATGATATTGAGAGGTGAATGATTTGTAGGCATCATTAATACTGTTGCTAGGAGATGGCTGTGGAAAAGGCAAGGTTTTTATTATATATTTGACAGACAACATTAGATACAATTATAATCCTGCATTCTTATCGTTTATATTAGAGTTTCTTGCCTTCTCTGAATTATAAGCACATTTTACTATTGTAATTTCGACAGTGTTTCATTGATTACTGCTGCCCCAGAGAATTATGGATATTTTTTGAACTGGGACAGGAATCTGAGAGTTTTTCATTTCTGAAAGAACACATATATTTTTTTTGTTCATTCTTTAATGTTATGCACTAGGTATAATAATTCCAAATATGCAGAACTCTAATGTCCAGCCTTACACATTACTGAAGTAAATTTTGTAAAAATATACAGCTGAAATTCATTGAATCAACTAATGAATAATCAAGTTAAAAAAAAGTCAAGTATGCAATGTAACAGAAAAACTATAATGAATAAATATATAAATAGAAATAGTCATAGTACCCTTGACACTCTAATAGCCATGAAAGAGTAAAGACTCACTTATTTTTTAACAAACTTTTATTTGTCAATTTTCCATACAAAGTAGTACAGGTCAAGTGAGACAAAATACAAGAACACAGAAACAGGAAATGGAATGGAAGATCCTCTCACAGAAGGGTAAACAACAGTATCGACATAATAGTATAATAAAAAAATAAAAAAAACATTAGGTTCCACCTCTCAATAATGAATCAATACCCCAGGAGAGGAGAGGGCAAACCCATCCCTGAGAAAAGGCACAGGGAGAGAAGCACAAGAGACATTAGGGACATGGAAAAGGTGTGCGAGTGAGAAGAAAGAGGAGGGGAGGTCAGTGGTGTATTTTGGATTTGTGCTGCTCTAGGTATGACTACATTCGGGCACCCCCAAAATCTAAATTTGACCCACCAATTCGTGTCAAGGCCATTTTTTTGACTGACAGACACATGACCTCATTGATACATGCACTGATATACACTCACTGACAGATACACAGTCATTGGCACACACATGCAGTCATTGGCACACACTGTTTAACCAACACACACTTTCACTGACAGACACACACTGACAGGCACACACTCTCAGATACACATAAAATGACATACACACACTGACACACATTCACAGGCACACCCATTCTCACTGAAAGACACACACACTTTCACTCACTCACAGACACACACTGACAGCTACACTCACTCACTCACAGTAAGGTGGACAGCCCCAGAACACAAGGCAAGCAAGGCAAGCAAGGCATTTGTCTGGGAGCTTGGGTTTGCATTTTGTGCCTCCCGAAAGTGCCGCCCTAGGCAAATGCCTTGTTTGCCTTGTGGTAAATACATCCCTGGAGGAGGTAGAAAGTAGAAAAGAGAAGTAGAAAGGAGAATCAGAAATAAATAAAGGGTGTTGCTGGCAGGCGGAGAGTTATTGAGCCCATTGTTGGGAGGATGAAGTCCATCAGTTAAGATTGTTGACTGGAAATGTATTGGATCCACAGAGACAAGCTAGCTACCTATTTTTCTGTGGTAAAATTAAGAGAACCATGGCTTCCATGGTATGAATGTCTGGCAACCTCAGCGTCCATTAGTTAATGTTCGGAGCAAGCTTTTGACACCAGAGGAGCGGGAACATATATCCGTCACAGGCATCAATAAATGTTTTGTAATGATTTCTTGTATGTGCAGAAGAGAGGGCGTGGTGTTTCAATAGTACCATAAGACTCACTATATCACTTCATTTACAGGAGTAATGGTTTATGAAACATGTGAACCACCTCTCCTTTCACACCCAATGTGAGAATTCAAAATAGAAAAACTCCAGCAGTAATAGTAACAATCCTTCTATTTACAGTGATGTGGAGGGCCCAATCTTCATGACTGCTCAAAGATAAACTGAAGGAGGGTGAGGGTCTTTGTTCCCTCTTAATTGAAAAAAATAAATACATATCATTGATTAGTATATTGGTGTTGAATTAAAATACATACACCTAACAATAATGAACAGATCTAATATTATAAAAAAAAAAAATTTAAAACTATATTTTGTTTATTAGAGGATTTCTTTAAATGTGTTATCTGTTCTAGATGCCTGCTTAGATTACCGAGATGGGCATATAAGGAATCATTTCATGATACTTAAATGACGGAACTGATCTATTGCTGGGTTAATATTTCCTGCGTAGAGATGCTTTTGACTGTACGTGTATAGAAAGGAAATGTTAGAAGCTCCAAATTCCTGATTAGACATTCAAGATAACACAGACTGGCCTATCCAGCAAAATATGAAGAGGAGTATGAATTTTCTCTTTGATTACTTTATGCCTTAATAACGTCTTTACAGAGCTGCTCGAATGATGAGCTGCTCCTTCTTTTGTGTTGTTTAAAAATTAAAAGAATGGCTTGTTCTACAATTGCATAACAGTTTTAATGTTAGTGAAGCACCAAGAAAGAAATGCTAAAAATAATGCCTCACTTGCTTTATCCCCAGTTCCCGACACCAGCAGGAAATAATACTACATCTCTCTAGTGAAAGTGCTGTCCCTAGTGGTCACTCAGTTGCTCACCATTCTGAATAATTTCTTGAGTCCTCTTTTTAAGAACATCATAGAACATCACTAAAAACATGCATCATGTGGGTTTCATCCTAGTTTCATATCTTGTCAGTACGATGTCATGCATCTCTCCATCCACCGCAAAACAGAAAACATGTATTATGCATTTCAGGGTTGCTATTATAGAGGGGGTTATACATGATTTTAGAAGTTATTGGGGAGAGTTGCATTCCATTGGGTACTTAAAGAAAGTGGCTGGGGGGGCTAACAGAGGGACAGGGAAGGAAACAAAAAGTGGAGATTGGGGAGGGGGAAGAGGTGTGCAAGACCCGTGGAGACCACTAGATGGGGGGGACCGGGGAAGGATAAGAGCTGATACTAGCAATGTTATGAAGAAGGACACTAAAAAGTCAACCTGGCGGGTGATGGTATATTTTTTTAAGAAGACAATAGCTTCTCTTAGAATCTTGACATAGAAAAGTGGGCCTCATCCCTGGAGACTAATATGAAGCAGGGATTTTTCTCTGTACTTGCACAGATATCTGGATTATGGAACACCTCTATCATTGCTCTGTTCTGATGCTGGGGACATCCTGGTACCTGGCATGATCTGTGATTTGGTTGGTATTTAGCAAAACCACCACAAGAAGCCAGCCTGGTGGTCCTTCAAATAGCGATGTGAAGAGCTATAAGAAATGCTTGCAGGCAGCTTTCTTGCATGAAATATGGGTGAGTGGCCATTAGGCATTTCTGAACGGAGAAGTAGTAAGAGGTAGCATTCCCTCCTAATCTCTTTTGCATGGCTTTCTCCCTAGACACTTGAAACTATGTTTTTGTCATGGATGGCAGGGGGCACCAGTGGCTATAATCATAAGGTTCTAAATGCAGAGAAGTACATGCTCTCGTAGGAGGGTGCCTACAATGTCTACTGGCTATTCTGGCCCTGATGTCACGATATTCTCCTTACACAAAAATTATCCTAATGGAATGGAAATGAATATCGGCTTCCATTTGCTTGCACAAATAAAATGACTTCCAACTATCTCACGCACATAGCTCCTGATTTTGTATGATGATATTACATTAAAAGGGGTTGTAACAGAGCTCAGTACTCAGGCTGAGTACCTCAGTTGTAGTTTTTATTTCTAGGAAAAAAGCTGACTTCAGTGATTATAGCTCCTCACAGACACGAGAACACATAATGCTGGGGACAAAAACAAATTTTATTGCAGCTATGCAGAGGTATTCATGCCCACAGAGGGTCATTTGCATACAATAGGGTAATTAACAGTACATACAGGGCTGGACTGGGGATACAAAGCAGCCCTGGAAAAAAAAAATCTATGCTAGCCCCATAAGTCTTTGAGCCACGTATTGTCACATGTAATACGTACGGCTATGTCTTGCCACCCCAGATGATTGAGTCATATATAAATACATATATTATCTGTCTTGCCACCCCAGATGATATATATATATATATATATATATATGTATTTATATATGACTCAATCATCTGGGGTGGTAAGACATAGCCCCTTATATTATTGGTCAATATATATATATTTGTTTTTTCTAATATAAAATATTCCTTTCAGAGTCAAACATTTAATAATACAGTAAGCATACTCACATGCAGACACAGACAATCTCACTGACATACGCAAGCTAATTGATACACAGTGTCATAGACAAACATACTCACTGATATATATAAGCTCATTGACATAAATACACAAGTTTACAGATGCACACAAATAGGCTCACTGACAGACAATCTCACTGACATGCACAGACAAGCTTATTGGCATACACACACAAATGTAGTACAGACAAACTCTGACACGCACAAGCTTACTACAGACAAGCTCACACACACACACAAGCTCACTCACTAGAATGCACACACACACACAAGCTCACTCACTAGCAGGCACACACACAAGCTCTCACTAGCAGACACATACACACAGACAAGCTCACTCACTAGCAGGCACACACACACACACACACACACACACACATACAAGCTCACTCACTAGCAGGCACACACACACACACACACACACACACACACAAGCTCTCTCACTAGCAGGCACACACACACAGACAAGCTCACTCACTAGCTGGCACACACAGACATGGCTGGCGCCACCATTAGGTGAACTAGGCATTCGCCTAGGGCGCTGGCCTGCTGGGGGCGCCCACCCGGAATTTCCTGGTGGGCTCACCCTGACTTGGGCCGCAGCGCTGGGCGTGCGGCTCTAGAGCCGCCCCCCCTCAGCACTGGGCTGCTCCTCCAGGCACCCGAAGGTGGGGGCGCCCAGAAGAGCCCTGTCACAGTATGGCAGTGCAGGCACCTTCTTACCTTGATGACAGGTGCCTGCTCTGCCATCAAATCCCGGTGACCGGAGGAGAGGGGGGAAGGAGAAGGCGGCAAGGGAGGCTGTTCTTGCAGCCTCTCACTCCTCCCTCACGCGCCCTCTGTGATGCCGTGAGCCGGAATATGACATCATTCCGGCCCGGCATACTAAACGGCGGGCGGGAGGAGTGAGGAGCTGCCCCACACTGGATCCTAGGGAGGTGAGTGTTTAAGTGTTTGTCAGTGAGTGTGTGTGTGTCTGTCACTGAGTGTCTGTCTGTGTGTGTGTCTGTCTCTCAGTGAGTGAGTATATGTCTGTCAGTGAATGTGTGTGTCTGTCAATGACTGAGTGGAGTGTATGTCTGTCAGTGAGTGTCTGTGTGAGTGTGTATGTCAGTGAGTGAATGCCTGTCAGTGAGTGTGTGTATGTCTCAGTAAGTGTCTGTGTGTGTGTGTGTGTGTGTGTGTTTGTCTGTCATTGAGTGAGTGTGTGTCAGTGAGTGAGTGGGTATGTATGTCAGTGAGTGTCTGTGTGTGTTTGTGTCTGTCAGTGATTGAGTGTCTGTCGGTGAGCTTCTGTGTGTGTGTGTCAATAAGTGAGTGTATGTGTGACAGCGTGTGTGTGTCTGTCAGTGAGTGACATGAAGGGGAGGCAAAATAGATCTTTGCTTAGGACGACAGAAATCCTTGCACCGGCCCTGCACACAGACAAGCTCACTCACTAGCAGGCATACACACACACACAAACTCATTTACACACACACACACACACACAAGCAGGCACACACACACACACAGACAAGCTCACTCGCTAGCAGGCACACACACACACACAGACAAGCTCACTCACTAGCAGACACACACACACACACACAGACAAGCTCACTCACTAGCAGGCACACACACACAGACAAGCACTCACTAACAGACACACACACACACAGACAAGCTCACTCACTAGCAGACACACACACACACACACACAGACAAGCTCACTCGCTAGCAGGCACACACACACACACAGACAAGCTCACTCACTAGCAGGCAAACACACACACACACAGACAAGCTCACTCACTAGCAGACACACACACACAGACAAGCTCACTCACTAGCAGACACACACACACAGACAAGCTCACTCACTAGCAGGCACACAGACAAGCACACACACACACACACACACACACACACACAGACAAGCTCACTCACCAGCAGACACACACACACACACACACACACACAGACAAGCTCAAGCACACACACACAGACTTTTTTACAAGAGTTGCTTTGTTTGGTTTTAAATGCATTTTAATGATTTAGACAAATTACATCATAATTCAGTTCGGACAAGGCAAACACTGCAAATGAACAAGAGAAAAAGAAACCTTGTTTATTTTTTACTCCTCTCTGTATGCTAAACAAGATATCAAAAAACACGGTAGTCAATTTAATTCTCTCCTTATTAAGAATAATACTAACAATGCAGAATGTCATAGTGTATAAAAACATAAAAACAATCATGCCTCCCATTATATGATATCTCAGTTCAAACTCACTAATGATCATATAAAATAATTGTATATCAGTTATTATGTTACATTTTAGAAATATCTATAAATAGTTTAGTTTTCATTAGGTAATCCAAATGATGATACAAAACCAATACACTCGAAGGTTTGAGCGGTTCTGTTTCCATAGATCTGTTTTTCTCAAATCTTTATTTTTTAATACCTACTTCTGGCTGTGTTCTCAAAATGCTCTTCTCAATTGACGCAGTGTGTTGTTGAGTTAGTTTATACTCAATGGCATCTGCAAGTTTTTGTAAAATCCTTTCTCTTGGGAGGTCAGCTGTTTCCTGTAAAAACACAAAATGATGCTAATATTAATGTATTATCTCAGTGCTGTTAGAGTTCGTCTATAGTAACATTTAAATCATATGAAGCTGCTGTCTAATCGTATATGCACATGGATTTTTACACTGATCAGCTTAAAAGATTCACCAAACCTTACAGGTGAACTGAATAACATTGATTATACTGTTACAATGACACCTGTCAAGAGGTTGGATAAGCGAACTGTCAGTTCTTGATTTTTTTGTGTGTGTTGGAAAACTAGATAAGTGAAGAGATCTGAGTGACTTTGCCAAGGATCAAATAGTGGTGGCTAGATGACTGGGTCAGAGTATCACCAAAACTTCAAGTCTTGTAGTGTGTTCCTAGTATGCAGTGGTTAGTACCTACCAAAGTTGATGTATGGAAGTACAACCGGGAAACTGACATCAGGGTCATGGCTCATTGATAGAACATGAGGGGCAAAGGCTAGCCAATCTGGTCTGATCACAGAAGAGATACTGTAGCTCAAATTGCTGACAAATTGCTGACTATAATAGAAAGGTGTCAGAACACACAGTGCATCACAGTTTGCTGCATATGGGACTGCGAAGTAGCAGACAGGCCAGAGTTCCCATGATGAGTCCTGTCAACTACAGAAAGTGCCTTCAATGGGGACGGGAGTGTCAGAACTGGGTCATTGAGCAAAGGAAGAAGGTTGCCTAATCAAGTTTTCCTTTATTATGTGGATGTCCGGGTGCATCGTTTCCTTGGAGAAAAGATGGTAGCAGGATGCACTATGGCAAGAAGGCAGGCCGGCAGAGGCAGTGTTATGCTCTGGGCAATGTTCTCCTTGAAAACTTTGGATCCTGGCATTCATGTGGATGTTACTTTGACATGTACCACCTACCTAAAGATTGAACACATACACTCCTTCATTGCATAGAAACATAGAATGTGACGGCAGATAAGAACCATTCGGCCCATCTAGTCTGCCCAATTTTCTAAATACTTTCATTAGTCACTAGTCTTATCTTATAGTTAGGAGAGCCTTATGCCTATCCCACGCATGCTTAAACTTCTTTATTGTGTTAACCTCTACCACTTCAGCTGGAAGGCTATTGCATGCATCCACTACCCTCTCAATAAAGTAATACTTCCTGATATTATTTTTAAACCTTTGCCCCTCTAATTTAAGACTATGTCCTCTTGTTGTGGTAGTTTTTCTTCTTTTAAATATAGTCTCCTCCTTTACTGTGTTGATTCCCTTTATATATTTAAATGTTTCTATCATATCCCCCCTGTCTCGTCTTTCCTCCAAGTTATACATGTTAAGATCCTTTAACCTTTCCTGGTAAGTTTTATCCCGCAATCCATGAACCAGTTTAATAGCTCTTCTCTGAACCCTCTCTAAGGTATCAATATCCTTCTGAAGATACGGTCTCCAGTACTGTGTACAATACTCCAAGTGAGGTCTCACCAGTGTTCTGTACAATGGCATGAGCACTTCCCTCTTTCTACTGCTAATACCTCTCCCTATACAATCAAGCATTCTGCTAGCATTTCCTGCTGCTCTATTACATTGTCTGCTTACCTTTAAGTCATCAGAAATAATCACCCCTAAATCCCTTTCCACATATGTTGAGGTTAGGACTCTATCAAATATTCTGTACTCTGCCCTTGGGTTTTTACGTCCAAGATGCATTATCTTGCACTTATCCACATTAAATGTCAGTTGCCACAATTCTGACCATTTTTCTAGTTTACCTAAATCATTTGTCATTTGGCTTATCCCTCCTGGAACATCAACCCTGTTACATATCTTAGTATCATTAGCAAAAAGACATACCTTACCATCAAGACCTTCTGCAATATCACTAATAAAAATATTAAAGAGAATGGGTCCAAGTACAGATCCCTGAGGTACCCCACTGGTGACAAGTCCAAGCTTCGAATATATTCCATTAACTACAACCCTCTGTTGCCTGTCACTCAGCCACTGCCTTACCCATTCAACAATATTGGAATCCAAACTTAAAGATTGCAGTTTATTGATAAGCCTTCTATGTGCAACAGTGTCAAAAGCCTTACTGAAATCTAGGTAAGCAATGTCTACTGCACCACCCTGATCTATAATTTTAGTTACCCAATCAAAAAATCAATAAGATTAGTTTGGCATGATCTCCCTGAAGTAAACCCATGTTGTCTCTGATCTTGAAATCCATGTGTTTTTAGATGTTCAACAATCCTATCCTTTAACATGGTTTCCATCACTTTCCCCACTACTGAAGTAAGGCTTACTGGCCTATAGTTGCCCGACTCCTCCCTATTACCTTTCTTGTAAATGGGCACAACATTCGCTAACTTCCAATCTTCTGGGACTACTCCTGTTAACAATGATTGGTTAAATAAATCTGTTAATGGTTTTGCTAGTACACCACTAAGCTCTTTTCCATCAGGTCCCATTGACTTATTTGTCTTTACTTTTGACAGTTGAAATAGAACCTCTTCCTCTGTAAACTCATGTGTAATAAATGACTCATTTATCCTTTTTCTCAACTGAGGTCCCTTTCCTTCATTTTCTTCTGTAAATACAGAACAAAAATATTCATTGAGGCAGTCAGCCTGACCTTTATCCTCTTCTACATACCTTCCTTCTTTTGTTTTTAATCTAACTAATCCTTGTTTTACTTTTCTTTTCTCATTTATGTATCTAAAAAATGTTTTATCCCCCTTTTTTACTGACTGTGCTATTTTCTCTTCTGTGTGTGATTTGGAAGCTCTTATAACTTGCTTAGCCTCTTTCTGCCTAATCTTATAGATCATTTTGTCTTCCTCACTCTGGGTTTTTTTATAATTCCTAAATGCTAACTTTTTGTTTTTAACTATTTTGGCCACATCTGCGGAGTACCACAGTGGTGTTCCCTGATGGCAGTTGCCTCCTACAGCAGGTTAATGCATTCTACCATGCTGCAAAAAAATTTCAGGAATGATTTGAGGAACATGACAAGGAGTTAAAGGTGTTGCCAATCCATGGAGGCCCCACCTCACAACTTGCAGGACTTAAATGATCTGCTACTAATGTTTTGGAGCCAGATACCATAAAACATGTTCAGAGGTCTTGTGAAGTCCATGCCTCGAGGCATCAAAGCTGTTTTTGAAGCACATTTCCTGCCTTGTCATATCTCAAATACAATAATGGTGAGGCTTGGTGGTATATTAAGCAGATATACCAACAAACACAATAGGGCATACAGTTTAAATCTTTAAAAGTGAAAATAAAAAATAACATGATATTGCTTTAAAAATAAAAATGCTCACAAGAAGGATTGCACTCACAGGAAAAATAGAGAAACATAAAGCTCCAAGGGGCCTCCCTGATACCCTGCGGACCTAGATATCATTGTTTCCACTAGACCTAGAATGTCAGCATTTTACCAGACGCAAATAAATCTCATTAGGGATTCACAATAAAATTATTTTTGAAATGTTTGAATTACTTATTTAAAATCACAATTGCCAGGTAAACTCTGTGACATAAAATAAAACAAAAAAACTAGGTCCTATGCATTTCGCCCTATCTAGAAGACTTTTTTAGGGACCTGGATATGTAACCAGTAAAATACTGAAATTAAAAGCAAGAATCACGTACAATAAAGGAGGAGGGATCTCACACACTGACTGAACCACCAACGAAATCGAGAAGATGAGAACTTTGGCGGATATTTTTATAGGTTCTTCTTTGATGCTTTTAATTGCAGTACTTTACTATCTACACACATTAACCATTAGTGATGAGATACTTTAAAGAGGACATTGAGATCTCTGTGGTAGAAAAAATAAATCTCGACTGAGTATGTAATTTTATACATAAAAAAATTTATAACGATCTCTGTTCATATTCACACAGTCCACATTGCCATCTCTGTACTTACTGCACTGTTGCCATATAGAAAGAGACAGGAGCAAAAGATTAATAGGAATTTCTATACCTGGCAGAATGTCTCTCGATGGGATGCAAGATTTTGTGAAACTTTAAAGTAAAAAAAAAAAAAGCAACCCACTGCCCAAACTCTTTTGTTGAAGAGTCCCAGTTAATTCTCAGGTATACAATTGTCAAAGGATTGATAATTATTTGATACAGAGCTATTCATCTCTGTATGACCAAGTAAGTGGCACACTGTGATATATTTCTTTCATCTCTACAGAACGGCTTCATTAGGCATATCTTCTAACAGGACATCATACACAGGAAGCATGCCGACACGTTTCATTCATAACAATCCTATTAAGTATGATTTATCTAAAACGACAATGAAAATTGTTTGCTGTAGATAATAATTCCCACCTTGGCAGCCTGTTATCATCCAGATAAGGGACTAAATATACAAATCTATTGTTACCCGTACTTCAGTATGGAGAGAAAGCGAGTTTTATATCCCTTCACATACAGCTTGTAATTGAAATTATACAAAACAAACTCCTTAAGATTATCTTATTGTGGACATCTACAGAAAGCAAAATCTCCCATTGACGTTCTTTTTTTGGATTCTCACGTAGCCAATGATGGAACATTTAAAACTAAAGCCAATGCTAAGTGATTCACCATTAATGGAATCAGGTCTTTAATTTAACTTAACAAGATTTTTAAAAAGAAATTGCTTCAAAGAGAGGCAGCGAATTTCAGCTCTAATAAAAGCACCGTGAACCCTCACTAACAAAGTTCTCAACTAAATTGATTTGTTTCTGTAGTTTTTGTTATGATTAGAAGTTTTCACACAGCTAAAATGAATCTCTCTCTCTCTCTCTCTGACACACACACACAGGCACACACACACACACACACACTCTCTCTCTTTATATATATATGCACACCATATATGTGGCCATATTATACTAATCTTAACTCTAACATCATAACCCAATACCTTCCTTCCTTACCTAATTATTTGAGGAGATACCATTGTCATTACTTTATTATGGGAGATCAGCCAATGTGTTCACTGGGCCTTGCTGCTATTTTTTTTAAATAGTTCTTTATTGACAGAAAGCATACGAGTACAAGGTATACATTTTAGGACTGAAAGTTTGGCAATATGCAGTATACAGATGGTACATTCGAAATTCGCATATAGTGATTACTCGAATAGTTTCTCGCTGCTGGATGTAGTACCCGCCAACAATCAAAGAGTTGAGCAGTGTTGAGGATAGTGTGTATTTGTTTGCGTGTGGGAATCTGATACACATGTGAGGCAGATGTGGAGTCTAGCGAGCTGTCCAGTGATATGTTGAAGCCCCCCCCCCCCCATAAGCAGGAGGCCTTCTGTAAATTGTTCTAGGGTGTTTAGTATTTTACTCATTGAGCGTCCTTGTTTTCTGTTCGGGAGGTATATATTCACAAAAGTCACTAGTGTGTTGCCAATTAGCCCCTTCACAAATAGGTACCTGCCATTGTCGTCTACTTTGTGGTCCTTGTAGGTGAATGGTACAGTGGCCCCCAGAAGGATCGCCACCCCCCTTGATTTGGATAAGGTGTAATTACTAAAGTATCCTATGGGATAACGCCTATCTCATATTATCGGTGCAGAGTCTTTGCAAAAATGGGTCTCTTGGAGAAAGACCACCTCTGCATTAAAGTGATTCGCCTTTTTTCAGGAGTGTTTAGGCCCCTGGTATTTAGCAAGACTACCGTTATGGTTGACATGTGCGTGGTTAAACTGGGATTTTGGGTGTGTGCTGGGAGTTTCACTCCGGACCTCAAGACCATGAATCCCTTGGGTTTGTGGCTTGCGGAGAAAGAAATGCAAAAACAAAATGGTTAAGATAACGGTAAATAAAAAATAATAAGAAGAACTATATACGGTACAATAATATTGACGTGAATGTTTTGAGCGATATAGTGTAGTTATCACGACTAAGGGTACTAGCGCTGGTGTTGATCCCTGAGATTAACCTGAGTCTGCAGGGAACACTCTACACCGACACCGCTGTGAAAGTTAGTGGGTTCACTGTGGCTTAGTTATATAAGCTTTGTCGAATAACAATTTATTCTTGAGGTTAGTGCGTATTCATTCGTGAAGGATGGTTATAGAGGTGGAGAACTCGTCGACTTTACCTAAGAAGTTGGTGGGACGGGGCGTGGCCTGGACGAGCATGGTGCAGGACGCACAGTGAACGAGCTCCGCACCCCTGGCCGACTAATCAGCAAAAAATAGCGACAAAATGGCAGATAATGGTCCGGAATAAAAAGCACCTAGCTCTAGAGTCGGCGGGTGTCAGCTACCCTCGCCGATGCACGGGACCGATGGATGATTTTATAGCTACGCCATTGGATCTAAGGGGACAGCAGCATGCATCCAAGATGGCGCCCGCCTCTCCGGGCTCGGAGAGTGCGGGGGATTCCCTGGCGGAGGACACCCAGGCGAGTGACCTAGCTCGGATCCGAGCCGAACTAACCCAAATCTCCACCAACATGCTGTCCAAGTCGGACACGGGCTCCCTAGTACAAGAACTCCGGGCGGCACTGCGTGAAGAGCTTGCAGGCCTCCGCTCTGATCTAACAGCGCTAGAGCAACGAGTGGATGAAATGGAGTCGACAGCTTGCGGATGTGAAGAGCAGCACAGGGCGACGGAGGTGGCTGTTACCAGACAAGGGAACATGCTCCTCACAATGCGCAGACAAGTGGAGGATCTGGAGAATAGGAGCAGGCGCAATAACATAAGAGTCCGCAGCCTTCCTGAGTCAGGTACAGAATCGCTTCACGCCACGCTGACCGACCTATTCAGGCAGCTCCTGGGGGTACAAGCCCCTGACACGATACACTTCGACCGAGCGCATAGAGCTCTTGGCTCGGCGAGACAAGATGGCAGCCCCAGGGATGTGATCTTCTGCATCTCCACATGTGGCCTGCGAGATAAAATAATGGCAGCCGCAAGGGAGCTCCCCAGCATCAGGTACCGCGAGGCAGAAGTCTCACTATACCAAGACTTATCCAGCCTAGCGCTAGACGCCAGAAGAGCCTTGCGCCCGGTGACAAGTGCCCTTCGAGACAAAAGGATCCCGTATCGCTGGGGTTTTCCCTTTAGCTTACAGGCGAGGCACGGTAACACCTGGCTGACGGCCCGCTGGCCGGAGGACGTACCGAGATTTCAGAGAACACTTGGCCTACCACAGATCAGAATCCGAAACTGGATCCTCGACGAAGCAATCTCTACACGGAGAGACCCGCTAGCCCCTATAAGACCGCCTGAATCGTGGCGATCCACCGCGCCGGAGAGGGGGCCCTGAGGGGCCAGAGGAGTAGTCCAGCCAGAGCCTGAACAGGTCAGTGGGGGCCCGGTGGGCTCTAAACGCACCCCTGGGGACTTGTGAGCCCACACACACATGAGGCCCCGCGGAGATGGAGGGGATATAACCAGGACACATGGGGAGGGGGGAGAGGGACCAACCGGAGGAAAAGAGAATGGGAAGAAGGGGAAAAGAGGGGAAAGGGGGAGGGGAAAAAGAAAAGAAGGGGGGAAAAAAAGGGGAAAAAAAGAGAAAAAGAAAAAGAGGGGGAAAAAGAGGGGAAAAAAAAAAAAGTTGGTGGGTGTGTTAAGTTGAATCAATAGTGCATGTGGGTGGGCCACCAGGAGTAAATCTGTATGAGTTGCATAAAGATTTTAAGAGGTAACAGAATTGAAGTCTGTATGCTCCCAGCCTGGGTTTGGGTGTTCTGAAATGCGATTTGTGTGAAGGAAGGGTGGTCTGCTGGCCACGGTACAGGGGTCCCCCCAAATGGGGAGTTGGTGGGAAGGTACGAGGTGTGAAGATGAGAATCCTGGGGTTGGCCAGGTGACCCATACAACACTGCTAGGGGCAGGGATGGATTACTCTCACATCCACTGTATCTGAGGGGGCCCATCAGGGATAGTGGTGAGACCTATTGAGTGGTGAACAAGATACAGAACCATGCAATGACATAAACATAACGTGTACCAATATACAACCTGAATTTGGGAGTACACAACTCAGTCTCTATCCCCACATATCTGAGCATTGCTTTTAGTGTAGCACCAGAAGACCTTGTTTTTAAAAGTTTCAACAGGATTGTCGTCTCATGTGCTATATATAAAGCACATCATCATATAGTTACATAGTTACATAGCTGAAAAAAGACTTGTGTCCATCAAGTTCAGCCTTCCTCACATATGTTTTTGCTGTTGATCCAAAAGAAGGCAAAAAACCCAGTCTGAAGGGCTTCCAATTTTGCAACAAAATAGGAAAGAAAATGTCTTCTTTACCCCCAAATCAATAAAATCTAAATGTACGGTGGAACAATGAATGAAAAACAAACAAAAAACCCCCCCCAAAAAACAAACAACTTTTTTCATAGTATAATAATATATTTCCTCAATTAGAGCTGTCAGTTCTCTGCATTGAGTTCTAGCTTAGGAGCTCTGATAGAAGCTCTGTGCAGGAGCTTCCAGCTGTCATTTGAGGAAGTCACCAAAGCCGAGTGGAACCTAGGTAAGTTGTCAAACTGTTTGCAGTGGGTATGACTTCCTACTCTGGGGGACACCAGAGCACCATAGGAACACCACGGCACTAAAAGCACCACAACCACTACAGCATGCTCCAGAACATTGTTTAGTAAATTGAACATTTCATTGCTTTCCACTGTAATTATTTATCAGTTCATACATTGTCCAAAAAAATCTCCTCATGCATATGATGCCCTTAATTCTTAACTTCTACTGATGTCTTGTTCAACATAATCTAAAATTACTAAGAGATTTACTGATTCATAAGAGGTAGATAAATAGAACTTTACACAATATGTGGAATTACAAATATTTTGGCATGTACGAATAAGCAGCAATTACATTAAAAATAATTGTATAAACATGCTGCACGTGAAATGAAAAAAATTGTACTAATGATCATTCCAGCCTATTTGCCTTCTGAATGAGTTATCTGCCAAAAATGAAACTCACTAAAATAACTGCTGCCAAAAGTAGTGAATAAAAATGCAAATGATAAAGATATCTTTCAAGAAATAGCAAGTTAAAAGGGTACATTAGCATGTATTTACAGTGAGAGATCAGTCAAGGAGCAGATGCAGTTATAAAAATAGTCATTATAATTGTTTTCCATGAAAAAGGTAGGTTTTACCTCAGTTTATATTAAAGAAATTGTATTACACACATGATATTGGATAAGGATATATGGATATTATTCTGTCACAATGTTCATCTATTTATTTCTTCTTAAAGTGGTTATAAATGAATGGGTGGTTTTATTGTCAGAAAAAAATAGTAGTAATACAGTTTCACAAACAACACATTTCATTGTAGTGGTCATGATGCAAATAGTCTTCGAACTTCATTCCCCCTAGCCAATGTAAAACAATTTTTGGACACTTTTACAAAAATGGGTCTTTAATGGCAGCCAACTTTCTGCAACTCCAAGAATGTGTAAGTGGACTTGGACTTCAGTGATGGGCTAACCTGCAACCACTGCATGCCCTGCTTGAATGTGTACTCTTGATATTTTCTGTTGTGTTACCTGGGCTGCAGAAGAGGAGATGGGCTATAGGTGCTACCGTGCCAGTGCTGAATTTTAGGACATGGGTCAGCCTGTGCCCATTTAAGGTTATACATTACCTCATTTAGTACTCAACCACAATTTACAGATAAACTCTGTGGTAACCCAATATCCACCAGCTATAAAACACCCATCCAATGAGGAATACAACTTTCATATATTTGCCACACTGCATTTACAAAATATAAACAGCATTAATATATAGTGTTTGGAATACATGTTTGTATTGCTGGCACTATAGTGTATCTTACTAAGACATGGTACAATGAGAAAAGTGACTGGGACATAGCAATACCAGGGTACTCTTTATATAGGAAAGACAGGGAAGGCAAGAAAGGGGGAGGGGTGGCCTTGTATGTGAAGGATAGCATAAAATCTAGCCTAATAAAACTTAGTGAGGCAAACATAGGGTCCGTTTGGGCTACGTTAGAATTTGGTAATCACACAGTAACTCGTGTAGGTGTGATTTATAGGACCCCAGGAAAAATTGAAGAGTTAGATAATCTACTAGTTGAGGAAATAGCTAAAATGACAATGAAGGGGGAAGTTATCATCATGGGTGACTTTAATCTTCCTGATGTAAATTGGAAAACAAAATTAGCTACTTGTGCCAGGAGCACACATATTCTAAACTACCTACTGGGATTGTCTCTAAAACAAGTTGTTGAGGAGCCAACTCGTAAAGAAGCCATACTAGATTTAGTGTTAACAAATGGAGATTTGGTATCAGATATTACTGTAGGTGAAAGTTAAGGATCCAGTGATCATCAGTCAGTGTGGTTTAATATAAGAACAGTGACTGAGTCACACCACACAAAAACAAAAGTTTTAGACTTTAGAAAAACAGACTTTTCTAAAATTAGAATATGGGTAGAGGAGTCATTATCAGACTGGAGCAATTTAAATGGAGTCCAAGAGAAATGGGATTATTTAAAAGTTGCACTATTGAAGGCAACAGAAAATTGCATTAGGCTTGTCAGTAAAAGCAAAAAATTCAAGAAACCACTGTGGTACTCCGCAGATGTGGCCAAAATAGTTAAAAACAAAAAGTTAGCATTTAGGAATTATAAAAAACCCAGAGTGAGGAAGACAAAATGATCTATAAGATTAGGCAGAAAGAGGCTAAGCAAGTTATAAGAGCTTCCAAATCACACACAGAAGAAAAAATAGCACAGTCAGTAAAAAAGGGGGATAAAACATTTTTTAGATACATAAATGAGAAAAGAAAAGTAAAACAAGGATTAGTTAGATTAAAAACAAAAGAAGGAAGGTATGTAGAAGAGGATAAAGGTCAGGCTGACTGCCTCAATGAATATTTTTGTTCTGTATTTACAGATAGAAAATGAAGGAAAGGGACCTCAGTTGAGAAAAAGGATAAATGAGTCATTTATTACACGTGAGTTTACAGAGGAAGAGGTTCTATTTCAACTGTCAAAAGTAAAGACAAATAAGTCAATGGGACCTGATGGAATACATCCAAAGCTATTAAAAGAGCTTAGTGGTGTACTAGCAAAAACATTAACAGATTTATTTAACCAATCATTGTTAACAGGAGTAGTCCCAGAAGATTGGAAGTTAGCGAATGTTGTGCCCATTTACAAGAAAGGTAATAGGGAGGAGTCGGGCAACTATAGGCCAGTAAGCCTTACTTCAGTAGTGGGGAAAGTGATGGAAACCATGTTAAAGGATAGGATTGTTGAACATCTAAAACACATGGATTTCAAGATCAGAGACAACATGGGTTTACTTCAGGGAGATCATGCCAAACTAATCTTATTGATTTTTTTGATTGGGTAACTAAAATTATAGATCAGGGTGGTGCAGTAGACATTGCTTACCTAGATTTCAGTAAGGCTTTTGACACTGTTGCACATAGAAGGCTTATCAATAAACTGCAATCTTTAAGTTTGGATTCCAATATTGTTGAATGGGTAAGGCAGTGGCTGAGTGACAAGCAACAGAGGGTTGTAGTTAATGGAATATATTTGAAGCTTGGACTTGTCACCAGTGGGGTACCTCAGGGATCTGTACTTGGACCCATTCTCTTTAATATTTTTATTAGTGATATTGCAGAAGGTCTTGATGGTAAGGTATGTCTTTTTGCTAATGATACTAAGATATGTAACAGGGTTGATGTTCCAGGAGGGATAAGCCAAATGACAAATGATTTAGGTAAACTAGAAAAATGGTCAGAATTGTGGCAACTGACATTTAATGTGGATAAGTGCAAGATAATGCATCTTGGACGTAAAAACCCAAGGGCAGAGTACAGAATATTTGATAGAGTCCTAACCTCAACATATGTGGAAAGGGATTTAGGGGTGATTATTTCTGATGACTTAAAGGTAGGCAGACAATGTAATAGAGCAGCAGGAAATGCTAGCAGAATGCTTGATTGTATAGGGAGAGGTATTAGCAGTAGAAAGAGGGAAGTGCTCATGCCATTGTACAGAACACTGGTGAGACCTCACTTGGAGTATTGTACACAGTACTGGAGACCGTATCTTCAGAAGGATATTGATACCTTAGAGAGGGTTCAGAGAAGGGCTACTAAACTGGTTCATGGATTGCGGGATAAAACTTACCAGGAAAGGTTAAAGGATCTTAACATGTATAGCTTGGAGGAAAGACGAGACAGGGGGGATATGATAGAAACATTTAAATATATAAAGGGAATCAACACAGTAAAGGAGGAGACTATATTTAAAAGAAGAAAAACTACCACAACAAGAGGACATAGTCTTAAATTAGAGGGACAAAGGTTTAAAAATAATATCAGGAAGTATTACTTTACTGAGAGGGTAGTGGATGCATGGAATAGCCTTCCAGCTGAAGTGGTAGAGGTTAACACAGTAAAGGAGTTTAAGCATGCGTGGGATAGGCATAAGGCTATCCTAACTATAAGATAAGACTAGGGACTAATGAAAGTATTTAGAAAATTGGGCAGACTAGATGGGCCGAATGGTTCTTATCTGCCGTCACATTCTATGTTTCTATGTTTCTATCTTAAATCATGTGGCAGCTGGACAGTTCTTGCTAGCCAGCCACTATATTAAAAAAGAAAATTAAAAAAAGGCCTATGGGGGTGGGGAGGGTCAATATGACCCTCATATTCCTATAAAGAATGTGCTTAACTTCCCTTATGTCCCCACAAGCCATGCCGCAGGAGGAAGATATCTGCTAAACAGTTAGCAGCCTTGGGCTACTCACTGTAACAGTGAACCAGCAACTGCAAAGTCTTTGCTGCCCAGTCACTATAAAGACCCCATCCCACTTTTATAAAGACTTAACAATGCTTTGAAATCTCAGTAGAGCGCTCTGATGGCCGGCAAATCTAAACTTTAAATTCCAACTTTCCTGGGAATATTACAAATATTCCCCTACAGCAATTGGAATATTGCTGGTAATATATTATATATTATTGGTAATAGACCATGGATGGGGGCTAGAGGGGACATTAAGTTATTAAATGAATCTAATCCACTGATAGTTGGATGCTAGATGCACGATTTGGTAGCAGCTATTAAATAAATAGCTCTGCAAAATCCAGACATTGTGGAATCTTGTCCGGCCGAATAGTTTTGCCCCATTTAATACAGGGCTATTTGGACTATAGTGAATAACCCTTATAATCTGTTTGTGCACTGTCACACTTGAACACATTTAAATTAAAGGACGGTCTATTTGCAGGTGAAACCAGGTAACGCTATTGACTTTGGTAACAGACACTACAACAATTGCATAAGTAATTGGATTTATGATTGGACGTATGGAAGCAGAAATAATATCCTGAGTTAATAAATACTGTTTTATGGATGTATAAAGCCAATTTATGTGTTTTGAATAAGAATCACACAAGGTTACAAAGCAAAGGCATATTTAGATTTGATGAAGCAAGGGGAAAAAATGCATATTCACTGCTTCGGAAAGTTTCAATCATTTTACATTGTGTACAATGCAAAGCAAGCAGGTTGTACAAATAATAATTACCTTTGACTTTCCAAACAGAGCCAGGGCTTGTTTATAGAAGAATATCGATTCATCATGGTTACCTAGGCAGAAGTACGTAGCGCCCAGTCCTTCACTGACCTGGGACTGCCTGAGGACATCTCCTGTCAACAAAGGATGATATCATTGTCACTACGACGCATAGTACCTGCTCCGCATTGGCTAACTGTATGTTTCAAAATGTGTGTTTAAAGTCACTGGAGTTTATTCATTAATCAGCGAATTGTGGTTAATTGAAAACTGATTTGGAAAAGTCAGTATTTATTTATTTACTAAAGTGAGAATTAAAGGTGAATTCAAAGTGAATTTAAAATTTAAGTTTAAATCCGCTGAACCGGAAAAATTCTCTAAGACCGCTATGCTTTTACTTCATCTACTCTGACAGTAAATTTAAAATTCACTTTGCATTCTCACTTTGGTGACTAACCCTGTACCTGCTGTATGGAGAATATTTACAACTGTTATTTTGGCTTGAATGCTGCAATCTACTTTTCAATTCCCTACATTCACAGTTTAGTGAATAATGTTAATTTAAATGGTTGCTCCGAGAATCATAACTATCCCAACCCTCTGAGTGTTTATGATGTCAGTGGTTATGGTTATAGTGGTCATGTTGCCCAGTAAGGGGGTAAAATGCTAACATGTGCGCACAGTCAGATACGGCTGTCCTGGCGATATTCATTAGCTGATAGCATCAACTGAGTGCTTTCAGCCAATGAAGGTAACTCTGTGCATGCAATAACAAGTCTGAAACGCTCATTCCGGGCAGGCTAATCATTCTGCCAGTAGGGGTGGAGTTACACCTCTGCAGCACCATACTGTATTCCTGAGCGCACAACATACTTCATAGCTCCCTCCTCTCTCGCACCCCCCGGGCCTTAAAAAGGTTAAAAGTCCCTTTCTGTATTCACCAGATTCCAGTGATGATCTGCAGAATGTGAAGACATCCAACGTCAGGTGATTAAACGTCACTTAGCCACCAGGAAGTGACTCAGGTGGCTGTCTGACTGACAGCCACTAGAGCTAGTCTTTGTACTGCAATGTAATTATTGCAGTTTTTCTAAAACTAAATAATTAAGTGTTCTTGCATAGCAAGACCACTTAATGTTATCTCACATATATATTATTCTTATTCTTATTCTAGCCAAATTTACCACCCTAACTCCTCCCACAGTTTTTACACTACATAGACAGTAATAGACCGAAACGTGCGGATTGTTCCCGATTGGAGTGCTATTACTTTGTGGAACGTTTCGTCGAATGGTATGCGAAATATAGTCGTTTTTGTGGTGAAATTGGTTACCATAGGAATAAATGGCGATATGTTCAAAACTAGAGTGGGAGCTGACAAAAACATCAGGACATGATTTCTGTAGGATTTATAGTTTTTAAAATATGACCGTTTGAAGAAGGAAAAGTAATCAGGAGTAATATTATTACTATATTATATATTATTTTCACTATAACACTGGTATATCAGTGGCATTTGCACTTTTGCACCTTTTTGCACTTACATCAGTGTATGTAATAGTAACACACTTATAAAATAGAGGTTGTGTATTGGTTTAAGCACCAGAGTGTTCTTAAAGGAATATTGCAAACTTTTTGTCTTAAAGACATAGCGCACCCTTTTTTCTGTATTATTGTATTTTTAGTGTTTTATGGGCTATTGCACTTTATAAGGGAGCTGCTTCATAGGCTTAAACATTTTTCTCACGATTTTAGACGTGTATTGAGCGCCATTTATTACTTGTCTTTTTTCTTTCTAATGTGTAAAATATACTCAGATTCAAACTGTCTAAAATTTCCTTGACAAACTGCAATATTCTGCTGAAATCCAACTAGCCAACCCTCTCTGTTTTGTCTATGAATCACATTCTATATTTATACGGCTGTGCGTTTAGACAGTCATAGCACGTTTATTAATGCGCCTGGAATACAGTGATTTTCACTGAATGCGATGTGGTCATTTTGTTGTCTGCAAATATGTGATGCTCACTCGAAATCTAACAGTTTGTCTCTACCTGCTGTTTTAACTATAGCCTAGTAAATGTAAATCTCTCACAAAGCAAAAATTATTTAATACTTAGAAATCACACGACTGCTATTGATGTTTCACGCAACAATGATTCCCAGAAAGCAACTCACAAACACAGAACATTGTGATAACCCGAGGAGGATGGCTGCAGTCCAAAAATACTCCTACATTAGATGTGGAATGGCTCGACACAAGAAATATTTATACTGCGGGGCAGAGGAATGGCACATGGTGTTTTGCTTTTATAGTCTGTACCAAGGATATCTTATTTTAGCCAATCCAAAGGGAGCTTTGCAATCATTTACTATTGATCTGAAGCCCTGTGAAGTTATATGTGATGAGAATTCGATCAGCCCTGTCTGTGACTGTACTTGATACTTGAATAAAAATTGCTCCAGGCCTGGAAGGCTTGTCAGAACGTGTCTCTGCTTGTTTTCGTTTAGTTTCCCAAGTGTTGCAAGGCAATTGTTTTTGATATTTTTTTTTATTTACTGTGGGATTGAATTGTCCTGCTCACCAATCATAAATGCTTTAACGCCTATTAGTTAAGTGAATAAACACCTGAAAACATTAGGCTTTATTGATGAGAACTTTATAAGAAACTTTTGAGTGAAAACTAGGCACTTCTATTGTCTAGGCACTTCTATTGACCATTCCACAGGTATCCTGGCTTATGTGTTGTGTACCTAGCTGTGTGCAGTGACCCACATGCCATAAATCAACCCTACAAATTTAAGTGGCTGTTGCTCAACCAGTGTTACTTTTGTCGACTAACAATTTTAGTCAAATTTTAGCCGACTAATATATTTGAGCTTTAGTCGACTGAAACTAGACTAAAACAATTCAGATGACTAAAACATGACTAAAACTAAAATGGCTAACTCCCCATTCAGAAAGTGAGTTAAACAGGTATGCCTGTTTTGAGGCTTCCTGAAGGGTGGAGCGACAGAGCGATTGGCACCTTGTTCCAGATTTTGCGGCTAAAACGTTCGTTAATGGTAAGAAGGTGCCCATGATTCAATTTTGCGTAGATTTCCAGAGACTAAAACCAAATTGAAATTTGAACACAGAATGGCTGTGGAATGGGCAAAGGAGACAGACCAGGGCTTGGGAGATAGACACCTAGAAGTGCTGGGAGGACACAAAGAGACGCAGAGGGGCTGAGGAAGGGGCAAAAGACACAGGTAGAGGCTTTAACTAAACCCATTCGTTTTTAGTTGTGTCGACTAAAATCTACTGGAGATTTAGTTGCCTAAAACAAGACTAATGCTAAAACAATTCAGATGACTGAAATACGACTAAAATTAAAATGGCTTTTTTTTGTCAAAAGACTATGACTAAAAGGAAATTGAAATTTTCCACCAAAATTAACACTGTGCTCGACCTCTCTTCATACTTGGATAAATTCTAACAAAACTTGCTTATCTCTTGGATGCCAAAGAACCAGGTAACATTCTTACTTTGAATTAATTGACTCAGTGGGCAATCTTAGAACTGCAGAGATTTTCACTGAAGTGATGCAAATTATTCTGATGCCTTTAGTAACCCTTTTTATACGATGCTTCAAATAACACAACTACAACTGACTATAGTGGTTATGGTTTCACAAAGCTTTAGTTAGGACCACACCTTTTAATTCCATTCACTTTATTTTTTATGAAATCTACAGAACCCAAGCACCATCCACCCTCTCCACATTCATGCCCTAACCTAAAAGTCTAGCTGTCCCACTTGATGAGTTCAGTGTCTTACCAACACCACTAATATATCCCTCTCTCCTTCTTTAGCAAGTGGCTGCAGGGATTGAGACTCTGTTAAATGAATACCTTTAAAAGAAAAAAATCAGTGACAGCAGCTGCTGCTTGGGAGTGAAATTCCCATCAACCTCAGGCATCAAGAACTGATAGTTCATTACATGCATGATTTTTTTGACCCCACTTTTCACATAACCTAATTGTGCAATACTGTAAGTTCATGTGTGGTGTCTCACAGCACAATGCAGGCTTTGAAAACATGGTCATGCAATTTATCATATGATACAATAATTTATTAGCATGGCAATGGCGTACTTGTACATTGCAAATAATTCAGAATTGAGTGTTGCAGAAAAATCTAGACAGATGTGTGTACCCGCTATGTGTAATAGGCTATTGAAGCTATTTGTTTCTATATAATGATGTTCTTTACCTGCATCTTGAAATGCAATCAGTGCCTGGAGGTAGTAAAACTCAGCCATTTCATAGTTTCTCAGTTGGCTGTATGCAAAGGCCAAGTTGCAGAGACATTGCCCTTGAGAATTTCTTTCACCCAGTGTTCCTAAAAAAAATATATAATAATAATGGTTAAACTGGCAGCATAGTATGTAAAATAATAAAGTTATATTGAATAACCAGATTTCAAAAAGTTTCTTTGAAATCATGTAGAATTGTATTATAGAAAAACATTTGTAGTTTCCCTTCTTCTAAAATGTCAATGTACTAAGTCTGTTCTGGACTGTGCAGTTATTTCAAGCTGCCACATAATTACAATGGGCTCTATTTATTAAACAGGGAGTTGTGGTTACTTGAGAAATGATTTGGAATATTTAAACATAAATAAAAAAAGAGATTGAATAAGGAGTAGGTGTATCCAATTTCCGTGCATTAGCTGCTTGTTTTTCGAATAAATAACATTCCCGGTCACTATTTCTTGGCCTCTCAACGCGTTTGGAATGTTTTCTGCGCCAGCGTGATGTATAACATACAGGCGAAATGTTGTTTTCGAGTAACATTTATACCACTTAAATTTTTTTTCAAATTCTGGCCTCTGATGAATCGACAGGTTAGATTACAAAGATTAGAGACAAATTTAATAGCTAACATACAGATATATAATTTGTCATTTAGGTGGCATTTAGCCACCATAGAGAAGCCCAGGTTAAATAGCCGATAGCATACAGATATTTGTTTCAGCTGTCATTTACTTGGTCCACCTCTCCTGACATTCTAAGCTTGCCTATATCACAGTAATATAGGATGCGCAATGGTTTACATTTTTATTTTTTTTAACAGTGCGTTTTTATAGATAGTGCATGGTTAATAAATAGCTATCGTGTTATAAGGTTTTGTTATAAGGTTTTGGAAAATTGTGAGAAGGGTTTGGGGTTAGGGGTGGAATTGTTACCATGTTAGGGGAAGACATGGTTGGATATACTGGATATTAGCATCAGAAATAGTACAGGTTCTAATGCAATTCAGGCTCAGAATAAAATAATAAAAAGATTTAAAAAATTGGATTAAAAAATTGGATAAAAAATGCAAATTTAATATGATTAAAAAAACACCATTCAAAAAAAATACAATGTCAAAACTAAACAATTAAAGTGATAGTGCTTTGATGTATATACGCACAATGCAAATCATGTATCTCCTGTCTGACTCAAACCTGATTTTACTGTCTATATATAGTCATGACTTAAGAATAAGAATGGGTTCTACTTTAAGTCTAAGATATTCTGAAAGCCCTATTTACTGTATGTCTATTGTATGCAGTCATCGGTGTCATATTAACGGGCAGTCTAGTTACTTGTCAGCCTTTTAGTGCAATGTTATAAAATATGTAATAAATAACAATAATGTATTTCACTGCACTATATAGCTGTATTATGCATTATGTGTTACTGAGGACTCTTGCTCTAAAATAGATTTTTAGATCCTTTAAAACAGTGAGCTGAATTTAATTTGTTCTACTAAACAGTGATTTTAACGGAAAAGTTCACGTTCTCCCTGTTTATTTCAGAACCTTAATTTCATCCTTAGTACCAATAAATCAGTTTAAAACGCAAATGTTAAATATTGTTTATTGTCCAATAAAGAGCTATTTAATGGAAATATTGATCAATCGTTTGCAATGCTGTAATTAATACGCATATTGAATATTATTTTTTTATCTTACCATATATATCTGCTGCTTCTGCATGGTTTTTGAGTGATTTTTCATACTGGTAAAGAGCGTTGTCAACTGCTCCAAGGTTTTGGAGTAGTACAGCCATTTTTCTTATAGAAAATTGTTTTCCACTGCATAGATTCATACCTTCTGCAAAGCATCTTCTAGCTTGGCTAAAACACTTTATTTCTGCATAATGCAAGCCAATGTGATTATACAGTGTTCCTAAACAGAACATAAAACAAAAAAATCAAACATACATCTTTTACAAGGGCTCAGTTATAAGTGCTCTAAAATCACTAAGCCATTCAAATTTCAGTGTCTCAAGTTCTTTTCTTGGTAGGGTAAATCTTTTTTGATAAGTGCGTTAGATAATTATAACATCTATAACTAGGCACAGGCTTGAAAATTAATACAATTTAAATGTTTACTTTTACCTGGATTTGATATTATTGTATAAAATTCTGCAATAAAATTTTTATAATTACACATGCGTATATCAAACACATTACCAGAGCTGTCAGAGCGCTGTGTTTGGTTTGCTTTCAAGCAGGCCCGGACTGGCCATCGGGCAAACCAGGCAATTGACCGATTGGCTGCAATGGCCATGGCCCAAGGCGGGCTTGGGAGATAGGAGGATCAACCCGCCAGCCCATGCAGGGAAGGCACCATCCAAATGCCAGTCTTGTGGTATGCCAAGACCGGCCGGTGAAAAGATCAAATATCTCCCTCACTGGCACTCTGGCACTTTACTGCGGTGACCGGTAGTTGGAGCATTGCTGCTGCCTATAGTTCACTCACCACCAGGGCTTCACAAGCAATGTCCCACCTTCTGGGCAAAGGTAAGAAAGGAGGGGGGATATAAACTATATTTTTTATTAATTAAAACAAATACATGTATATATTTGATTTGATCTAGATTCCATACATAACTCTGGTTCTTCTACACACACATGCACACAGACACACACCAGATCTCCTATACACACTATGGGGCCTCCGCACACACTATATCACCACAAATACAGGGCCTTTTTCTCATGGAAAATCTTTTCAGTAGGGCTCTGTGCATTGTATCAAGACACCCACTTTGAGAGGGGACGAGCTTGTCATTGGTAATGACAAAAAAATCCTCACAGGCCCTGCACCCTTCTCAGCGGGCCACTGATTCAAAATGCCGGGGCCAAACATTTTTGCCAGTTGGCCCTGCTACCAAGCATTACATGGATTTATCCTTAAAAAAGGTTTAACAATTTTTTGTTGTTGATTCTTTGGCAAATATGCCCTTTTTTTAAATTTAATTTAGTTTCTTCATGGCTATTGATTTGGACTGTTTTGGTCGAAGAAAGGAGATCTTCAACCAGTACTTCAAATGGTAATGATTAAATATTTTAAATATTTATTACCCTTCATTCTGGTAAAGGATGGGGTAGTGGCCACTCATTGGGCCTCTACTTGGTAATACTGGCAGATAATGATAGGGTTCTAAGTAGAATATTTATTTGTCCCACCACCCTTAGTTCTTCACATATAGATAGTTAATGTGGCCAGGTAAATTAATGCTTCTGGGGGCCTCCAATAACCCCCAGATCCCTAGTTGGCTGTCTAGGGTTGTCCTCTGGTTAATAGTACTCTAAATACTAGGGTCAGAGGCCCCCTTTTTAATTTCTGATCTTTTAATCTTTCCTTTTTTATGTAGAATTTGTACAAGAACAGAGAGACAATTTTCTCTCTCTATGCAATATCTTTGGGCCTTTGCAGTTGTAAACTTGAGTTTTAAATTTGTATAATTCCTATCTTCCAGTCCATAAAATAAGCATGATCTAGAACTTACCCAACAATTTCTTATCATCTACACTACTGCATGATTGAACACAGGAATCCAGAGTCTGAATGATTTCTGTCTTGGAGAATTGTTGACTTTTGATCATGAAGTTGGCAGCCTCTCTCATGGCCATCACTGCGTCTTCAGTCCTAGCAATCTTCAAATATGAATGACCTGCAAGCCTAAATGAATGTGCAGCAGAGGAAAGGTCTTCTACAGCCACAAAGCAATACCCGAGCTTGATTAGGGCATCTGCAATATTATTAACTTCATCAAATCCATATTCATTGATAGCTCTTTCATAAAACTTCACTGCTTTATCATGCTCTTTCATTTCATCATAAGCGGCAGCCACATTAAAATACAGATCTCCGTCTTGACCTTCTAGTCCATTGGTTCTAGATTTAATAAGACACTTCAGTGCTTTCTTTGGTTTGCCAATGCAAATGTAGGACGCTCCAAGATTAAATAGGCATGCTTTCTGAAGCTTTTTGTTTGTCAGCTTACAGGAAAGAATATATGCTCTTTTAAAACTTTTGAGAGCTGTATTGATGTCATCATTACGTAAAGACTGGCTTCCATCTTTGTACAATGACCGTATCTCAGTTTTAATTGTTTGACTGGGCTCAGACTTATTTTCTTCTGGTGACTTCAGAACTGCCGAGGCAGCCATTTTAAAAAGAGAGATCTGTAATAAAAATGTAGGAGTTAATGCAGCTTTTCTTTTTTATTTATTACATACAAGCTTGTACGGCTACGACAGCTCAAACAAACATCATTGTAGCAAACGTTATAAGACAGTGTTGTGTCATGTATAGTAACTGCACTTTGTTTTTTTTATGAAAGTATGATCAAGCCAATCAGTCATGTTTAACTACGAGAAAAGAGAAGGTCAAAACATATGCTAGCGTACTATATTTAACAAGATATGCTTATAGTTAGTTTAACGACTTGTATAACTAACTATAGATAAAAATAAGAGAACAAGAAAAACAACTCCCTGTACCATAAACAGCTAGTAGTAGGTGTGCCACTGAGAGTGAGGTGAACAGGAAAGATCCCTGCACAGGGTAAATAACTTAAATCAGTAAGTGTAAAGAAAACAAAAAGTATATCGACCTGCATCTTCGGGCCACAGACTCGGGGCCTCATTAAGTTTTCCCCTGAGGGGAGGACAGAAGATCAGGGTGGAATCATGCCGCCGATAGCAGGTACAAGTCTTCTGATTGTGTGGGTGATGCAGAGGGGTTTTGTCCCCATTGGCCTTCTACCCAGGTGAGCTAGTGGCATAGGTTGCTCGCAGTGTGGGAAAGTGAGTGCCCGAGAGGAGCCCCCCACCGTCCGGCTGCCACTCTCCTGGTCTCCTTCCAGAGATCGATGTAGCTTCACCATTTGCCGTGCCTCAACGGCTTCCCAGAAGCATTGAAAAAATACCTCCAGCCGCCTCACAGATTGAGCAATGTGGTCCGAGTGCTCCAGCCAGTGTTGCATGCGTTCAAGGCACTACTGTGCATTGTATCATCCAGTGGGGACCGGGATAACCCTCACCAGTCCAAGGGCGGGGACATGGGACTGCAGCAGTAGATTCTGCGAACTTTGGTAGCTCCAGGTCGGGAGATCGGCCATTTCTCCCTTCCGCGGAGCCTGCCAGGAGTGTAGGTCACAATACAGTTCCTGGCCTCAGACTTTGGAGAGGGATTTTAAACTAGCTCCAGAAGGTTCCCCTACAAGCAGGGACAGGATAAGAGTAGGTAGAGTTGCTTTTGAGGGTGAAATCACACCAGAAAATCTGAGTTTTTAAGCCTTAGTGGAGGAGCTCATGCTATGAATGTCTGCTCTCCATAATGGCCAGGCCCTGCCCCGTTAATGCAGCTTTTCTGACCATAAACATATTTATATATTTTTCTATGTTGCCTGAAAAAATAAAGCTATAACTAAAGTTAGCAGTATTATCGAACATTTGTCTGCTTTCTAATGCTACCTATGTAAACTTGTATTGTATATGGTGCAATATGTTGCAACAGTGTAATCCTACAAGCAAGTTTACTACATAATAACATAAACCAATAAAGAGTATTCTTATTTAATGCCTTTTGCAAAATTGATGTTTCAGAATTATCAGTTAATTATCTGCATCTTATGCCCCAAATTTGGCAGATCGTGAACCCATCTAATCTCTTTATCTTATACTTTTTCCTAGCAGTCAAGGTCCCTCTTTTTTCAGCCTCCCATTTACTATCTGAAATACTTTATAGAACCAGAATTGGATCAGAGATCACCATTTTAATGCATTAAACTCTTTTAAAGGTGTTTAGTCTGTCCTTCCTTCCTTGCTTCCTTCCCCCCAGATGTCCCAGGTGTTATGTGAACATTCCAATTATGGGGACCTTACGGTTCTTGACTGGTTAAATGGTGATTCACATCCGGGGACACCAGGTAACTGTCCCCATAAAGCACAAACAAGAGCATCATTTGACATATGGGTGGTGTGCTGTGTAGCCTCAGGGCACTAGGACTATGCACAGAGCACTTCAGCGGAGGCTGTCATGCCTCTTCTTTCAGAGTAACCAGTGATGCCACTAGCATTACTGACAAATTCCCATAGGCCTGCTCAATCTCTGTCCAGATTTCATACCTCCTGGTAATGCTGGGAGCTATGCATAAGGTTATGTCCTGTTCACTACACCATTTGAACTGTTTGTCTAGTAATTCTATTCACTACACCATAAGGTTATATTTGCTTGGCCAAACTCGGTTGTGGTTCTTAGTTTCAGTCAGTGTGTCTGTCTGTCTGTCCATCCCCCAAAAAATTAATTCTACTAAGACACAATTGTTTGGATGTATTAAAGGCAGCATTGGGTCGTTACAACCCAAGTCATGTTCCATCAATCGACTGCTTCCATGCTCCTATAAAAAGCATTCACAGCATTTAGTGATGCTGAACATTAGAAAAGTCTTCACGAGGAAGCACCTCTAGTGGTTGTATGCTTGACAACCACAAAATGCATCCTTAGTGGCCAATGTAAATATTGCTATTTCTCACAAATGGCAATGGTTATATTTGTCAGACTGCAGGTACAGGGCAAAACACTAAGTGTGACAGATATTTGCTTCTCAAACTGAAAGCGGTAAAGTAGGTTTGATAAGTAAGATCCAATTGTATTCCTCTAATAGGAAAACCATGTAAAAAACTAAAAAAACAAAGTACATAACATGTTCCCTTTTTAAATGCAACAGTGTTATCTCAGCTAAAATACACTTACATACACCTGGTCATAATAACACACTTATTTATACAAAACGATACTTGGCCATAAAACACATCAACTCATGTCCTATAGTTTTCTTCAACTGCGCTATACAACACCAAACATTTTAATAACATTTACTTTTCTTACTTTCAAAAACTTGCTTGACTGCATAATGTGTGCAAACACCGTTCTGTAATAAAAATGCTGCCTGCAGATTGTGTTGCGATATTGGTTTCAGCTGCCCAGGGAGCTCATTAGTTCCTCATTAAAAGCTAGCTATAAACATACCACATTTTTCCAGCATTAACTCGAAAATGAACCCATAACAATTCACCATCAAGTCAAGTTCTAGGTGGGTGACTGGCACTGTTCAATACTCCACATAACTAACAAACTATAATTGATAAGAAAAATAAATGGAAAAGCGACAGCTTATTTAATTGTTCCCTTATGATCACATTTAATTTAGTATTAACATAAAACCAAGTACAACAACACTTGTGATGCATTTAGAACAGCTTATTGTGGCTCAATTTGCTTGTTTACTGCTTCCTTGTTCATTATAGTTCATCCCAAATGTATTTTTGGATTGTTGGCTCCAGCCTGGCTTTGGTTAACATGCTACAACGTGAAAGATCTATAAAGATATTTAGGATTTGATGAGCTTATAAATTGCTCTGCGGAAGCGGATAGTGCTATTTACATTTCAAACTGCCATCTGAGCTGTTCTTTTCAGAGTTATAGTAGTCTGAAGACAACACACCAGATAGGGCTTTTAATCCGATCATTTTATCATAATGGAATATATAAAAATGAACTTTAAATGGAATATCAAATGCACATATTTTCAGAGTTAAGTGATTTTCATTTCCACTTTTCCTCAAAACCAATCTCTTTAGTAGAACATGGAATAGAAAAGTGGTATAAATATGTCATTTTGGTGCAAAAACCCTGCAGTTTTCTCTACGAGTAAACAAGTCCTATTGTTACATGTTTCTTTTCACCGACAGCAGGTATGTTGGGAGAATCAACAATGAATTTATTTATAAACATATACAGAGCCTACTGTGACTTTCTAAAGGATGTTTCAATTTACTGAAACCTTGAACAAAATCAAAGTTATGTTACGTAAAGTTCCGTTTAGACAATTGTCTTTCTGCTAATTGTAATGAGAAATTAATGGAGCAATCGGATTGGCTTGGACATCCCAACCAAGTTTCATGGTAATTTTTTTTGTCTGGACATACTGCTTCAATGCATTTATCCCTGAAACTCTACACCTGAGGTGTAAGGGCAGGATGGGGCTTAAAGTAATTCCCTGGTTAAATTAGTTTCTGGAATAACCTGTTTCAAAACTCCAAGGAAGAAGTGTGAAGGCAAGTGGCCGCACTACCGTAGTCCTCAGGCCGTGCAGCTCTAATGCTCCACATGACTGAACGGCTCCCTCTGCTGGTTCGCGGGCCGAACTGCGTCTCCTTAAATAATTAAATTCCCATAACGTTACGCCCTTAAAAGGACCTTGTTATCTAGACAACCCCATGCTGTTTGGGTTCGCAGAGATGACGTGGACCAATAGGTACTTTTTTGAACCTGTTTAAGGCCTGTTCTAGCCCTTACTCATTGCCCTACGTGGTTTCTGTCCTGATACATGTTAGCGTTATACAGTTGCAAGAAAAAGTATGTGAACCCTTTGGAATGATATGGATTTCTGCACAAATTGGTCATAAAATGTAATCTGATCATCATCTAAGTCACAACAATAGACAAGCACAGTCTGCTTAAACTAATAACACACAAAGAATGAAATGTTGCCATGTTTTTATTGAACACTCCATGTAAACATTCACAGTGCAGGTGGAAAAAGTATGTGAACCCCTAGACTAATGACATCTCCAAGAGCTCTCAGAAGACCTACGATTAAGAATTGTTGACTTGCATAAAGCTGGAAAGGGTTATAAAAGTATCTCCAAAAGCCTTGCTGTTCATCAGTCCACGGTAAGACAAATTGTCTATAAATGAAGAAAGTTCAGCACTACTGCTAGACTCCCTAGGAGTGACCATCCTGTAAAGATGACTGCAAGAGCACAGCGCAAACTGCTCAATGAGGTGAGGAAGAATCCTAGAGTGTCAGCTAAAGACTTACAAAAGTCACTGGCAAATGCTAACATCCCTGTTAGCGAATCTACAATACGTAAAACACTAAACAAGAATGGATTTCATGGGAGGATACCACAGAGGAAGCCAGTGCTGTCCAAACAAAACATTGCTGCATGTTTACAGTTTGCACAAGAGCACCTGGATGTTCCACAGCAGTACTGGCAAAATATTCTGTGGACAGATGAAACCAAAGTTGAGTTGTTTGGAAGAAACACACAACACTATGTGTGGCGAAAAAAAGGAACAGCACACCAACATCAAAACCTCATCCCAACTGTGAAGTATGGTGGTGGGGGCATCATGGTTTGGGGCTGCTTTGCTGCGTCAGGGCCTCGACGGATTGCTATCATCTAAGGAAAAATGAATTCCCAAGTTTATCAAGACATTTTGCAGGAGAACTTAAGGCCATCTGTCTACCAGCTGAAGCTCAA